CCAGCTTGTGGTTATTTTATATAGTGATATAACTGCAGCTGCCGTCCCTATTAAATACAATGACAATGGTCTCTTATAGGTGTACTTTAAATACAAATAGCAAAAAAAGCTAGCTAGCTGGATAGCTACTATAATAAGGTCTAAGGTGTTAACTAAACTCGCATTTCACTAAAAGGCTATCATTGCAATAGCTAAACAGTGGTGGTCACTTTCCTTGAATAGAGTTTAATTTATGTCCCATCACCTTTTAAAAGCAATAAAGTGACTGTTGTTTTTTTTATTTCTGTAAAAAGTGAAGGGAGCTGTACTTAAAATAAAAATATTAAAACTAGCATTTAAATAATCACACTTAAAAAACACAAAACATCTGTATCCACCTTTAATATGGTGATTTTGGGTCCCATCTTACTGACAGTGTACTTCTTATATTTATTAAATCTTCCAGTAACACCATAATTACAATGTCACTTGGTTAATTTCCAAGCAATTTAATGTTAAAGAACTCTTTCCTTATTAATTTATTTAACAAAAAGTCATTTTAACCTGTGTCCCACATTTTATGTGCACCCCTGTTACCAAAACCTGCTCCCCCTCATAAAAAATGGAACATTCCATTTATTATGAAATATAGCAGAATTTGCATCATCTGGTTTTTTGCAGAATGACCATCAGACAAGTAAGTATCCTCATTTGGTTTACCAATTTATACACAAAAAGTGACTGGACTGAAGGAGTAAAGCTTGATCATTCAACGCTGTAACCAAAATTGTAAGAAAAAAGAGTGTATTTTCATATATTTTTAAAAAATATGGTTATTAATAGTTAGCATGCAACATGTGCACCATGTCAAGCTAACCACTCCTAGATGCTAGCTTACTTTAGGCTAAGTTCACAACACTGTTATTCACTTTTTTAACTTCAGTTATTTTAAATGAAAATGAAATCAAAATTGCTGGAATTAAAGGGCCTCATTCACCATCTTAATAAGTTTTTTTCTAAAGTTTGTTCTTGAGAAAGGTCCTAAGAATAAGTCTATGACAGATTCATGACGTGTCCTTAAACCACATGACTGTTCACACCTTTGTGCTCTTGAGTGTGTGTAGATTCTGTTCTTACCTAAGAACAAATCCCAAATAAGAAAATATTGGTGAATGTCAGAATCTTCGTGAAAAATTTGTAAAGTGGGTTTTAAGAAGAAATTTCTTCTTAAGAACCGTTTGCGAATGAGGCCCAAAGATTTTAATAAAAACATTTGTATTAAACAATTGTTCAACTTTACCTTCTGCTCTATGTTGTATATTTTATGTTTTTTTTTTACTGCATTAATATCAGCTTAATGGGGAATGGTCTCCTGTTAGCTGGTCATTTATAGTGAAAACAGCTCGTATATTATCTGATTTGACAGCGAGATGTGAGAAAATAACATTTTCTGAAGGTGAAACTGATTAATATTTGTCAAAACCATCAAAGAAAAATAAAGAGTTTCAAGGCCTAATTTTAAGTCTATTTATGGAAAGCGACAGTGGTGTGGCATAGATTGGATGACCTCAGGTGGATCAGCACATCGACACTGTACAGTGGAAAAACGGCCCTAAGTAAACCACAGACTGGCCTGCCTTTTATAATTAATTATTTATGATTTTTGGATCATGTGATTGCCTTAATTCAGCCAAACACACAAAGAACACCTGTGATTGGTCAGGAATGCCAGAGCATACAATAAAACATTCACTGACTGGTTAGAGGCTCATTTGTATATCATACACTTCCACGATATCAGCATTGCGAAGGGCAATGTCACGATAATGATCAGAGAGCAATACATCGTGCAGCCCTATTGGGCATGTCCAGAGTCGCCTGTAGAAAACTGGCCGCTGTTCCTCTCATCAGTGGTCTTTAAGTCTGCATCGGCTCTGAAGACGTTCTCAGCTTGATGGTTTCTGTCAGCCTCTGTGTTAATGCACTCTTAAGTGTGATGGCTATTTGAGAGGCTAATCATGATGACCGTGTGTGAACTTTGGAGTGTTTGAGTGGAGGCTCGCTGTGAAAAGCTGTCCCACGTGTCAGAGCGAGAGAAACTTTTAATGATCTGGCTCGCGTTCTCTCTGCGACGCTAATTGGCTGAAACGAGCGACGGGGACCTCCTGCTGGCAAGTGCTTTTAAATGGAAATGTTGCCCACTGTCATTCTCAGTGGCTTTCGGCCTCTGCCACGTCATGTCTTACACGCTGACTGCCTCCAATAAACGCTATTTTACTTGTGAACTCTTAATGGCAAACACAAAGTCAAGCTAACAGGTCTTCATCGACATCACCTGGAGCAGAGATTGGCAGGTTTGGTCCTAAAGGCCCACTGCTCTGCACATTTTCTGTTCCCAACAGACCTAATCCAACTAATCACCTCATTAACAACCTTTTACCTAATTGAAGTGGGCATGTTAAAGCAGGGAAAGTACAAAAACGTCCAGGACCAGGGTGGGGAAATGCTGACATACACCAAGGATGAGCAGCTCTAGTCCTTGAGGCCTGCAGTCCAGCACAGTTTGGTGAATTTTGTTAAATACACCAAAGTCAGAATGGTTCACAGTGGTGGTGATATGAACCAGATGTCCACAAAGCCACTTCATAAAGAGAATTTGTTACTAATATTCTGCCTTATATTTGAGACTGATAGTTTTGAGGTAAGATTTTTGCCTAAAAACATAATTTTTAAAACATATTAATGGTGGAGAGGTACATACACAGCACTGTAGCGCAAAATAGTCCCAAAGAAAACATTTTTCTCTAAGATTATTTTATTATTATCAACATTACATAGAAATGAAAAAATACATTAATAAACCCTTTAGTTTTGGAGTGTAAATAAAATGCCTATATTTGGTAAATCAGAAAGTTACTCTACAATGAACCATTTTGCATCAAACCACTCTGAATGGCAACTGAATTATGGAGAAACTTTGGTAGATCATTGAAATTCAAATCTTACTCAGTTAAAAGCAAAAGTATGGAGTCAAAATATACTTGAAAGTCAAAGGATATCAACATCTAAATACACTTAAGTATGTAAAAGTAAAAAAGTAAATGTTTTAATATATAAATTAAATGTAAATTAAATTTGTAAACAATGTTAATATTAAAAGTTCCATTTTAAAAAAAAATAAAATGCAGAGAAACTGAATGGAAAGAGATCTGTCGATTATTTTGAAGGCATAAACGAAAACGCGCAGTTTTTTTCGTGTTTTGGAAATGTAATTAAATGAAAGTACAAGTATTCAAAAGTATTCAAAAGCTTGAGTATATTAACAAAGTACGACTGCTCAAGTGTTTTTTACATTCCTGTCCAGGATCAGATTTGCCACAAATGTCACAAGCTGCTTAACAACACGCTGGTCATCCATAGCAGCACACCACACTTCATCAAAAAGAGCCCACATTTTATGTTATAGCCTATACTTAAAGTTTTATATTTAATAGTATTTAACAACTTTATCATTTCAGAACCTGTCTTTGTACCAATTAATCAGCCTGTTTTGTTACTATTTACTGCCTTTAAGACTGATACACTATATTGTCAAAAGTATTCACTCACCCATCCAAATCACTGAATTCAGGTGTTCCGATCACTTCCATGGCCACAGGTGTATAAAACCAAGCACCTAGGCATGCAGACTGCTTCTACAAACATTTGTGAAAGAATGGGTCGCTCTCAGGAGCTCAGTGAATTCCAGTGTGGTACCGTGATAGGAAGCCACCTGTCCCACCATCCAGTCATGAAATTTCCTTGCTACTAAATATTCCACAGTCAGCTGTCAGTGGTATTATAGTGTAAGCAACTGGGAACGACAGCAACTCAACCACGAAGTGATAGACCACGTAAAATGACAGAGTGGGGTCAGCGGATGCTGAGGCGCATAGTGCGCAGAGGTCGGCAACTTTCTGCAGAGTCAATCGCTACAGACCTCCAAACTTCATGTGGCCTTCAGATTAGCTCAAGAACAGCATGGAGAGCTTCATGGAGTGGGTTTCCATGGCCGAGCAGCTGCATCCAAGTCTTACATCACCAAGCGCAATGCAAAGCGTCAAATGCAGTGGTGTAAAGCGCCGCCACTGGACTCTGGAGAACGGTACTTCTCCGTCCGGCAATCCGATGGACGAGTCTGGGTTTGGCGGTTGCCTGGAGAGTAGTACTTGTCTGACTGCATTGTGCCAAGTGTAAAGTTTGGTCGAGGGGGGATTATGGTGTGGGGTTGTTTTTCAGGAGTTGGGCTCGGCCCCTTAGTTCCAGTAAAAGGAACAGGATGAATTAGAGCAAAGACTGCGAGCCAGGCCTTCTCGTCCAACATCAGTGTCTGACCTCACAAATGTGCTTCTGGAAGAAAGGTCAAAAATTCCCATAAACACACCTAAACCTTGTGGAAAGCCTTCCCAGAAGAGTTGAAGCTGTTATAGCTGCAAAGGGTGGGCCAACATCATATTAAACCCTATGGATTAAGAATGTCACTCAAGTTCACATGCGTGTGAAGACAGACGAGCGAATACTCGGCAATATAGTGTATGTGTAAACAGCCTCTATTCTCATTGGCTACTGTGTATTGTGCCTCCCTAAAACTGTCCAGGTTGAAATGAAAGGAGCAAACTGTAGAGTTCAGACTAATATTCCTCAGAGATATCAGAAAAAATAAACTTCAGCCACTTCTTTCATACGTGTGGATAATTTGCTTCCTGACAGCCAGGAACAGCACACCGTTTGTTTTTCCAGCTTCTTCTGCTTCTGTGGGCATTTGTGAATGTGTTCACAGATGTGTTCATATGTGGACTGTACTGACTGAGGAGTGAACTGTGTATTCTGAGAATTTAACAGTGTTTACACAGTACACTAGACTCTTCAAATACAAAAAAGCGAGGAAATTTTGGTTTTCCAAGATACTGCTCTAAGTATTATATAAACGCAAGCATGCATGCTTGACCATGACAGTGTTCAAAGACTTTTTCCCCTCCAAATAGGGCTAAATCTCCCCTGAGCCACTGTTTATTCAATAGTTACACAAACATTAAAAAGAGAGACAGGGCAAAAAGCATGACTGCAAAGAGTTGAGTCTCAGCAATAGATGGCCAACAGAAATTCAAAGGCAATGTGAAGATAATGCCCCTGGGATGTGCACAGTTTCACAGAAAAATTTCCATATTTGAAATATTAAAGATAAGCATAAATCTTGCAAACTATATTTATGCAAACAAATCTATAAAACATTTTTTAATTGTGCTGCCACTCTGGAACGACCGAAGCTAAAGACGCTGGTGTTCAGCCGTGCTAAGTTATTATTCAGCACCAGTAAAAATAAAAGCACAGCATTAGCAGGAATGAAGTAAAATTCAAGTGAATACCCATGAGACCACTCAAAGGATGCTTATGATATTTGTCTTGTCACCTATAGGAATTCACTGTGACTAATGTGTAAACAGATGGCGCTTGTCAGAATTGTCCACTCTGATTTCTGTCCGATTGTTCATGTTCTGTGAGGCAGCAAACCCTCACGACAGGCAAGTACAAACTGAGAACTCCTCTTAACAGTATACTTCTTGTTCAGCCAAACTTGTGGTCATTGTTACTCTTCCATACTGGTCACTATGTCACTGTAGAACCCTGCTTTTGAAGTCTTGTAGCCGGTCAACGGCCACGGCTTCTCTCAGTGCTCTAAAGAATCCGAGGTAGTGAGCTGTGTTGTGAAGCATCAGTAACACCCCTGCCAGCAGTTCATTGGTCACCAGCAAATGATGGATGTACGCCCTCTTATGGTTCTTACAGCAGTAACAGCCACACCCCTCCACAAGTGGGCGGAAATCTTCCCGGTACCTGAAGGCAAAACAAAGTCACTTTCTCAAAAAGAGTATATACACCAAGTCACCAATTTATACAGTAGTCTGGAGTTCATACAGCACAAAAGGAAGCTAGCTAGCAAAATAACTAACCGTTTAAAGGAATGTGATCTGTAACTTAGTAAAAATTCAGGTAGAGTGATTAGCTGACAACTATCAAACAGTTTCAAGTTGTTTTCCTCTTTCTTTTAAACACTGAATTGCCTGCTTTTGGCATTTTTGTTCAATATGGATTCAATAAGTCACTGCAATAATGACTGCGCATTAGTGATGGGGAGTCGATTCCTAAACACGTCTGGGAGTCGAGGTCAACTCTTGGCCAATGACTCAGAATCGAAATGCTTGGAGTCGACTCATTGATTCTGTTTACTCTGTGTTTTTTAATTGTAATTAGCTTGAAGGACAGTTGCATGGAGGCGTGTGTAATACAGGAAGGCGTTTGAGTAGCCTGAGTTTGTTACCAACCTTTCTGGTGTGCCAACGCTGCTCACCAGCTGCTGTAAGCACAAACTGTGCACACAAAAAAAGTTTTCGATACCTCTACCCCTACAATGCACCGCTTTGCAACCGAACTCTGCTCACAGAAAACCAATGCTTCATGATGATGCTAAGTGGATGAGGCTTTTTATTCGCCAGCTTCTTACTCACATTTTTTGTTCCACCTTGAGTGATACTGCAGTTACATTCTGGTGCCTCCGCAACCTCTACATCATTTAAGGTGGAACAGAAAAGTGGGATAAGAAGACACTTGCAGCCTTTTGAATCTGATGGTAAGATGTGTTTAGACATTAGTCAGCTGTAATCACTTATTAAGCTACCTGATACATATAGTAGGTATACTATATGTATCAGGTAGTATACTATAGGTATACTATAGGTATACTAGGTGTAATCTACAAATCATCATCATATTACTATAATCTCTACCTACTCAAAAAATTGGGTAAATTACATTAAGGATGGTTAAATCTCTGCTATATCTCTTTAGCTCCGACTCTGGTGCTGTCTTGGTTAAAACTCCATCAATTCCAGCAACAAGAGTAGAAGGATGACTCCAGAAAACCCGGATTCATGCAACACTACTGCACATGACCGTTACAGAAATGACAGGCAAAGTTAGCACAACACACATGCTACCATGCCACCACCATGTCAGTGGCATTGTATAAAACGTCATAAAGTAGTATATTAAGAAAAGGCAGGATCTCACTAATGCACAAGTTTGCAGTCACAAACTGGTCAGAAATTTTGAGAAAACAAAGTAAAAAGTCTGAAAACATTGTAAACATGCGATATGTAGGAACACGGCTTTGTTCACCAACCAGCTCAGGAGATGCTAACCAGCTAATACAGTGATATTCATGAGCTAGGCCAGAAACATACACAACATTTTGTCGCTGTCCAAAGAAAAACATGCATCTCCAAAGTAGTAATTTTACAGAACAAGGGCAAAATTGGTCTTACTTTTTGAATGTAAGTTAATGTAAATAGGTTTTATTCCAAGTGATTTTAAGACATTTCTATCGGTCCATTCATTAAATCAATCATGAAATTTTCAAACATTGTAAAGGACAGCCGTGTTCATGAGTTTGCCAACTTTTTTATAATACATTAAAACACGTGGACTAGACATGGCTTTTGAACTCAGATGTTTACAAAAGCAGGTGATGCAGTCTGAGAAGAAAGAGCCACAAACATACATGTTTGAGATTATAACTTTCAAACTTTCAGGTGAGTTATTTAAAAAATGTTCTTACACAGTGTTATAGTATTTAATTTGTGATTTTCACTGAAGAATTTCATACATCAATTATCTACATTATTATATACAAAATTATAATGCAGTCTTTGGAAATAAAAAAACAGAGATGAATCGAGATCCATCAACAATGTTTTTTCACAATTGCAGGTTGGCACCCTGCACTAGAATTGATTGAAACTGAACTGAAATGTTAAGGTGCCTTGTGACTCTAGTACAGGGGGCTGATAAATTGTCCAGCAACAGTCGGGCTACAGTCTGTAACTGTAAACCCACAAACTGCACCTATTTAGTAGGTGTTGCAGTGAAATTGGCCGGTATGTTTTGTATAGGGTGTACCTAATAAACTGGCAACTCTCTGTATAGAGAATATACACTGACTACACAAAACATAAGTGACCCCCATTAGGGACACCTCTTCTTTCCATTAAACAGGCTGCCCGGGTGAAGCCAGGTGAAAGCTCTGGTCTCTAATCGATTTCACCTGTTAAATCCACTTCAGGTCAATGAAGATGATGGAGAGGAGACTATAATGAAAGATTTTTTAAGGCTTGAGACGTGGACTGTGTAAATAAGTGAGGACAGCAAGAAAAAGAAGAAAGACCTGAGTGCCTTTGAATGCGGTATCATGTACTTGTCTCAGCAATGCTGATGGGTTTTTAAAGCTTGCCAGTGTGCTGTGTGCATCTAAAATAGCCCACAGCTTAGTAGTGGGTGGTACAGGCAAAAATGTACATCATGATTTAATTAAGGTTACCGATGGCTTTGATATACATCACGGTACAGTGCAGTTAGGTATATTTTTTTCAGATAAAACAATTTTTTGCACATTAACAATGGTGTATTATTGTTGATGTCCCTTCACTTGTAATAAGAACCATATTTAACAACTGAAGTAAATCTAAAATATTTTTATTGTATGAAAATAGAAATGAACAATACATAGACAGGTGTCAATATTGCTTCCTAACCCTAACAAGATAAAGGTGAGCGAATGTAAAGCCCACAACAGCTTTGTCTGAAAGTCATTTGTCTCATATGTGTGTCTCTTACATTCAAGCTTTAATCTACGAGCCTCAGATGCTGCTGGAAATTAGTAAATATTACAAGCCGTTCACACTTTCAGTCTTAACTGAGAAGCTGCAGAGCCTCTTGGCTTGTAGGCCAAGACCGTGGCATCGCCTGAAGAAGCTGGCTGAGCAAGGAGTGCCACGAAAAGCTGGCTAGTCTCCATGCTAGGGCTAATGCCTAATGGCTAACCCAAAGAGACTGGCTTTTCCTCTCACTCTCTTTTCTCTCCAATTACTCATTAACTTATTACAACCTGATGTCTGCTCCTCTAACAATAAACTGGACTAAACTACGTCAGGTTGCAGCTTACTACACGAGAGGTGCGGGAATAAGTGTGTTTTGCGCTATTTGTACATCCCGTTATCTGCATTTATTTGCATACCGGTAAAACAGTAATGACAACACTAATACCTTGAGAAAAATTTCAACTGGTAAACAGGATGAACAGGTATATCACCCACTACTACCACAAACCAAAAGGCATTTAGACCAGTGGTCTAAGGACACTTACAAAATAGGCAGATCAATTCAGGCTCTACTGTCAGAAAACAGACAGGCCAAAAGGGGGCAAGACTATACCAGCATGACGCGCTCAATGTTTTGTATGCTTCATGACGCAATGCAGGGCTATGAGAGTGAATGATTCACATACACTGACACAGATAAGAAAAACAACTTCTTCCTTTATTCACCCTCTAACCTCTAATCTGATCTGACTCTACAACTTAAAGAATTATTAGGGAAATATAGCTGGTCACCAAGAAGGTGGGTGTGAATTACAGAAATATTGGCTCCATTCATCCACTGTTCTCATCAAGATGATCAGATTAGAGGGAGAATGGTACAATAATATGAGTGTCTGGGTGACCGCAGACAGCAGCTGCAGACAGTAAATAAAAAAGACAGAATTCTTCCTCACATACCTTGTGTCCTTCAGATTCATCTCAAACTGCGTCATATTTTCAGGACTGCTGTCTCCGTTCTCTTTAAGCTTCTCTACAGCACGCCTCTCTCCATTTGACTCCAACACTGTCACACACAAACAGGTTTGCTTTTATACAGTGTGAGGACATGAGGTCATACATATTTCCCACATTAGAATTAATACAAATAAACACACATGGAGGAAAAAGTAAAAAAGATTTTCTTTTTTAAAGGAGTGAGTTTTTGTTGTGTTGTTCTGAGCAAATAAATGCTTAGTGATCAGACAAACAGCTTTTTAAATTAACTTTTATCAAGGGCCTAAAAGCCTAAAACTCAACAGTAAATGTCTATATATAATAATGTAAGTATCTATATGTAAGAATAATAGGTCCCATGCGTATTACACATTATATATATAAAATTTTCTAAACCTAACCCTAACCTTACCCTCAGATAACAAAAAGAAATGGTTTTGCTTACTCAGTTTTTTAAAAATTAAACATGGAGCTTTTGGGAAAAGCAGTTTACAAAGTCAGGAGCCTTTGAAGGTTAGATCTGTTGATCTCTCTTTTTTTTAATACAACGTCAGGACATTTTGGTCTTGAAAACAAGCGCACACGCACACACACACACACACACACTCGCACTCGCACTCTCCAATAACTTCTCAAGCCTCTCAATAGATGAAGATCATAACCCTTTTCATTCTACTGTGAATAACTGAGATGGCACTTTCCCAAACTCATAGGCCGGGCAAAGGCACTCATAAAAATACACATAGGCACCAATCCACCTGGGAACACTCCTTGCCCACTGGCTTCATTAAAGAGTTATCAAGCGCTGTCACAGAGAGAGAAGCGCTCCAGTCAGCAGAAGGGCAAAGAGCACATCCTGTGTATTATCCCAAAAAAATGAAAGTAAAACAGACAGACGGAGATGATGAGAGAACAGGCAGAAGGGAAAAAGAGGGTCAAAGGGGGGGGAAGTAAGTAGGAGAGTGAGAAAAAGATGTTAAAGGGAGGGAAGAGTGAAGAAACTAGTGCAGATGGAAATGTTTCCCGCAGTGTCAGAGGGGGTTTAATCAGTGGGACAGCCTGTGGCCCGTCCCCCTGTGGCGCTCTCTAATTGGCTGAGAGGATATCTACATACCCCCGCCTTCCCAAATCCAGAGGTGGACGGTGGCCCGCCCTGAACTCCATTACCCTTCTCTCACCTAATTGATTCGCTCCGTCTGCTCTTTACACATCGCCGACTCTATCAATTACTCCAGTCTGAGATTTTCTGCCTGTAACAGGAAACTTACTCTATGGAGTTCACATCGTCCTGAGACTTGCACAAGTGCAATAAAGAGGACAGCAACAAATAATTGACTGAATTAGCATAGCTGCCCTGCACAGGAGGCGGTAGGAGTCAGGTACTTTCGCCTGGCTGTGAACAAAGCTAATTATTGTGTCTGACTGAGGGCTACACATAAAATAAAGGAGGGCTACACATAAAAGGGAAAAAAGGTACTTTCCTCACTGTTACTAATCTCTCATAAAGAAATATGAAGGAAATGGAAAGAAAGACTAAAAGAGAGAAAGAAGAGCGAGAGAGAGAGCTTTGCTCTATGCGCGTCCCTGTCAGCAGTGAGCAAGGCATATTCATTAATTCATTATCTGGAGCAAAAGATCACTGAGGGATGAAATCTGCAGCTTTGCTTTCTCTTGTATTTTGCTGCAAGGTTAAAATCACTACATTTGACATTATTATTAAAGGGATTCTCAAACTAATCTCCATCTGCTGCATCTGTAGTTTGTAGTCAGTTATCATGAAAAACTTCAACATGTTTCCTTTTAATTAGAAGAAATACAGTGGTGCTGGAGTGTTTGCGAACCCTTTAGAATTCTTTGAATATCTACATAAATATGTCCTAACATGCGATCAGATCTTCATTTAAATCAGAACGATAGATAAAGAAAAGCCAAACCACCAAATAACACAAACTATTACGTAATTTTTCATTTGGCTGCTGTCGGAACAAAACCTCATATCTCCAAAATGGTAACTTTACAGGAGAAGAAAAAAAACATACTGTACTTTTAATGGAAGTCCATGGAACCAGACTTATTTCCAAGTAATTTGGGGCTATTTCTTTTGGTTCATTCGTCATGATATTTACAGGGCAACAGGCATTTTCAAATTATGCCAAAAACTGAAAAATGGAAATGGAAAAAAAGCTTTTTTGAGGTTTTGTTCTGTTAGCAGCGATATATTGATTCAAGTGATCAAACATTAAATGTCTTTGTTGGCAAAAGCATGTGAACCTCTGCTTTCAAAAACTGGTGTGTTCCCCTTGAGCAGCAATGAACAACAGAACAGTTCCTGTAACTGTCGATCACCCCTGTACATTCACTTGGAAGAACCTTGGCCCATTTCTCTTTATAGAACTGCTTTAACTGTGTTATGTTCTTGCATGAACGCCACACATCAGGTTCTGCCTTGACATTTCAAGTGGATTAAGGTCTGGACTTGCAAAATGCAAATGTGTTCATAGACCTAGTAGTATTTTTAGGGTTGTTGTCTTTCTGCAGGACCCACCTTCTGTTGAGGTTCAGGTTATGGATGGATGCCCTAACATTCTCCTGTAGAATTTCCTGATATAATCCAGAATTCACAGCTCTATCAATTGATGCCAAGCTGTCTTGGTCCAATTGGGAAAATATGGCACTATGGTAACAAATTTGACACAATACCAATCTATATAATAATAATAAGCCACACAAAAGGTGGTAACCATTTAAAAAATATGTTTTTGAGTGCAGGGGGTCTTTAAAGAATGACACTGACCCCCAATTTCAAAAGAGTGAACAAGGGCACACCTGTAGGGGGCGATGTACCTGCAGTCTCTGGGTCAGGCATGATGGTGTAGTTGAAACAGAGAGCGCAGCCTCTCTCCGTCACCTGGAAAGGAAAGAAACCTTCGAACAGATCCACTCCGGCTTCCACGCATTCTATCACTTCATCCGGACGGCCAACGCCCTGCAGCAACCTGACGTAAGCAAACATTTCAGACAAAAAAGATGACTTTGAACTTGGAAGTAATCATACAGAAGCTGAGAGAATCGAGTTTGCAACTGTAGAAGTTACTTAGGCTCAGCCTGAATACCTGCATAATGGATTGCCTATATAACTGCAGCCAAATAAGTAAATAAATAAATAAACAAACAAATAATGCTCTAGACTGAGTTCAGTCCAGAGGGAGTCATGAAGTATTAATACAACACCACTGTATCTACAGCTTATTCTGCAAGCTGGAACTCTGCAGCCTATGCAATGTTCTGCAGTCCAAAGGGAGTGAACTGCCGGAGAAACTTTTTACTTTCGAATTTTAGGACTTTGGGATAAAAATGTACTAAACGAAGTGGAGAACGATTACCTGGCATGGCTAGCTAGACAGAAAATCAGAATAGAGACGCATAAGTGACAGCCATGTCACACCCTAATGCACTCTCTCATTTAGCCACTGGCAGTGTGCTCCACTTACTGATCACCCAGTGGCTCCCATGGGAACTTTCAGTTTCTAATGAGACTCCACAGGCCTCAGTGGGAGGGATGCTGTCGAACAAGACCCTACAGCAAGCTTCCAAATCTACAAAGAAACAGGCTGCTTTTTCTTTCTCTGCAGCCCCCCCCAAACCCCCCCACTGCCAATTTGTTCCTGGAACTACTCTTCCTCATCCTCCAGCATCCCAACTGAAGTAGCAGCCTGATGTGGTTGCCATGGTTCCTGGGAGGAGGATGGAGAGTTGCCATGGCTGCTGAGAGTCTGAGGGTACGTAATCAAGGGAAAGCAATAGGAGATGTGAGGTGGAGAGTGCAAAGATCACTCAGCCTCCAACTGAGAGGGACAAAGGTTCTCACAAAAGTTTGTGTGTGTGTGTGTGTGTGTGTGTGTGTGTGTTTGTGTATGCAGAAGAAAAAATGTTGCTGTGCTTCAGACCCCTTCCCAGAGCGGATGAATCTGATTGCAAGTGCAATGAAAGAATAGAATTTTTTTTCTCAGACTTTACAGGGAGACGTGTAGCAGAGCTCGCATATCATATTTTAACTTATTTTTTTCCTCCTGACTCAGTGATGCTACTACTTCCCATTTTAACAAAAAAAAATCTTGCTTAGTGCAGCTTTAAATAGCATTTGTTCACCAGTCTTAAAGGGGAATTTCACCAATTTTTCAAAATTACTGCATAATGAAATCGTTAATTTAAGTCACTCAGTGGTTTGATGTGCTGCTCTAGACAAACTTGTCGAGTCAGAACTGTGCCCAACAGTGGTGACAGAAACCAGAAAAGAGTAATGACTTTAAAAGCTACCTTACAGGAAGTTATTACGTTAGTTATAAAGTTTTAATGAAATGGTTATGCATATGCTACGTGATGCCTGAGACATTGTTTTAGGAAAATAACATATTAGCATTTCAGATTGTTTTGGCCTAAAACAGATTTTGTTAAATTCATGGTGAAGAGGTATATCCAGGGCATTTTAAGGCAAAATAGTCCTTTTCTTACCTTAAAATTTAACCTTTAAAAGGTAAATTACTTTCAGTCACAAAGTAGATTTCTCAAACAAGAGCAAATTCACAGTAGTTAAACGACGTTCATGTTTATTTCTACTCTGTGGAAACTTAATATCGGCCGATTTTTGCATCCAAATGATATATCGGTTGAGCCCTATAGCGTGATGGATACAAACACGAGGCTGACTTTTAGCCTGACTTTCACCTCGGTTTTTCCTGAGGCAGCTCCGCGGTCACTGCCGTAATCAGCTGACTCCTCAGCTCCTGCTCCATGGCGGCAGACTGGAAGCCATCCAGGACGAATCCTGCCACGGGCCGCTTGGCCGTCTCCCGCGCTGACCTGACCCTTTCCTCCCGAATATCGCCTCCCTCCACCACCCCGAATATCTCCGCCTGCTTCAGCTCCTGTCAGCCAGAGGGAAGATGCACAGTAAGCAGGTCCCAGTGCCAGCCGTGCCACTTTGTGGGCTGGGAAAACAGAGAACATCTTCATAAGCAGAACTGAGAAATGCAGTGACAAACCTCATCATTTTGTCAATAGAAAAACCTATTCCTGGCACAAATCCTCCACTAAGACTACTCTGAACACGACAGCAGTCTTTATACAGCAGGCAGCTAAGTGTCTTTTGGAGTAAGGAAACTTAAATTCACCTGCAAATCGAGGAGAGTTTCCTGTATGCTTGCTGTTTTCTGACCCTCAAATAAATCCGTATCTCAAATGCAGGTTGCAGCAAAATAAATAAAACTATTTATGAGACAGCTAATGCAAAAGGGCAGATAAAGGACAGCTTCTTTGCAAAACTGCTATAAGAAAAGCTAATTACTATTCATGCTTGCAGCAACAACATTTTTAAGCATTCATGTTGACTAAATGAATTTGGAAAGTAAATCATTTCTCTGCTGTTTATGAGTGAAGAACAAGGACATTACTCTCTATTTCTTTGTGTATTATTAAATATCCACTCTGTACAGTACCTGCTTTTTGTGATGCAGTATCAGACATTCATCTAGGTGGGCTAGAGTGCGGTCCACAGCCTTGCGGACCCTTTTCCGTGAGGTGTTGGCCTGCCACGTTTCTCCATCTGCCATGCTCTGATAGAAGTCTGGCAGGATGACTGCCTGCATGGCCATGAACTTGGCCACGGTTAGCTCTATCCTTCCTCCACTGCCCCACACTGATACAGTCTGAAATATCACACACCCATATATATACATATTCACACAGATACATGTAAGAAAACACTCTGTGACCAAAATGACTAAATGAAAAATATTCAACCCCTGTGCTGTGGAACCTCCACGTTTACACAGATGAAAGATACTGCCCTAACAAGGACACAGCTGGATTACAACTGGCCTCTACCTATGAAGCATTAAGAAAATTCAGATGGATTTTCACCTTGTTGTGAAAATGAAGACTAAAGAGTGCTCTAAGGCCATCAGACATAAAGTTAGAGGCATGAACAAGATAAAAGAAATGGCTACAAAATAATATCCAAGTGTTGAGCATTCCAGTGAGTGCTTTCGGATCAACTGTGAGGAAATGGAAGCAGCATCATAACTACCCAGGTGCTGCCTAGAGAAGGCTGTCCCATAAAACTCAGCATCACAGCAAGACCCAGATTTGTGAGGGAAGCCACAGAGAGGCCAACAGTCACTCTGAAGGAGCTACAGAGCGCACTGGCTGAAACTAGAGTGCAGGTGCTTCAGTCTATGATTTCAAGAGCTCTGTTTACAATTGGCCTACATGGGAGGGCGGCTAGAAAGAAGCCATTACTGAAGAAAAAACACTTGAAAGTAAGTCTGGAGTTTGTCAGAAAGCATCAGAATGACCCAAGTAAAATGTGGGATAAGGTTTGAGATAAGAGCTAAGAGCTAAGAGATAAGATAATAAGTATTATTTATGTGATGGGGACAGTTTGGGTGGTCTTATTTTCCATTTACTCTCCTCTTCCTTATATAAGTGAATCTTAAATCTCCTCAGAAATATCTTCTTTTTAACTGTACTCTGGCATTCGTTTCGCGTTCACTGTCTGTTTCATGTTTGAATAGCAAGAAGCTTGCAGCTCCTCATATTTGCATGCTTATGATATGCTGGGATAGGTAATGCTTTCAGCTTGCTTTATATATCACTGCCCTTGTGCATTGCACAGAAAAGTGCATGACAAACTCCCTTTTTTGGCTGATGTACATAACTCATTTGGGAACAGCTTTTGTTGGGAGGACACAGCTATAATTGGCTGGCTTCAATCATATCAAAACCTTAGAACTCCTCATTATGCCACTTAAAAACATCCACTGCCCTTTATATTGTGTGAACATATTGTGTGAAGTGGACCAAATTGGTCCAAATTTACTTGTAATAAAATTCTTGTTACAGTAAAGTATCTTAAAGTTAAGAAACATTATTCCATCTCATATTAAGTTACTCTTTTGGAGATATTTTATTTTCATGTTTCGTCACGAAAGTGATAACATGAACATGAACTCTTTGAAAATTGTGAACAACTTGGCATAAAAACTAAAGTACTAAGTAAGCATGAAGTACTTCATCTCCAGCTAAAACCCAAATAATCTCAACAGAAACGAGATGCCTTATTTGAGCCAGCACGCTCTCAAAGATGATTTGATCGTGTGTACACATCCATTTGTTGGGATATTCAGTGACCTCTGACCTTGTTAGTGATGTGGCCCGTGGGGCAGGTCGTGGCAGGGTCTTGGAGGGAGCAGTACAGCGCTGTGTCATGTAGACCTATTTGGGCAAAACACAATTTTTAGTATTAATTTTCGGCAAATTTATCAAGTTACTGCCATTATGTATGTTTACACATGCTGCAATTTCAATAAGTCATCATACACCAGAGATGCGGTTAAACACAGAACAATCAAATGCAGAAGAAAAGCTAATAACAAGGAATAACTACTACAGCCTGGTATCTAAAGACAGTCTTAAAGCACTGTTGTCCAAAGTCCGGCCCCAGGGTCAAATGCGGCCCGTGGACAGATTTTAATTGGTCCCTGGCTTTTATTTTACAGCGTGTTATAAGTGGTTCACCAGCCACTCTGAATAATCAAATCAATCTTTTGTGATAAGCGCTTACCTATCAACAATAAAGGAAGCCTTATGCCTCTTTTATACAGTGATAGAAAACACGGCAGCTCCTAGAAATCTCTGATTCTGCATGCTAAAATGTTTCACAATGACCTGCATGAACACGCAAACACTTTAACTCCTCTGTTGACTGATTTATGTGCATTTAAGTGGCCAGCGCCAAATTCTCAGAAAGGATTGCTAGCAAGATTTTCGGTTAGATTCACTGCTCTACATGACTGTATTATTCATTCAAAACTTAATATTTTGAATCAATTGTGAATATTATTTCAGTCCCTGGCTATATTGACATGGTCCAATCTGCTCCTCTATGAAATAAGTCTGGACACTCCTAGGGACACTCTGGCAAATTTAACCATTGCTACATCTGCTGTAAACATGCTTACTGCCCTACTACAGCGGTGCAGCTGTAGTCTATAGTTTAAAGACTAGGAAAACATTCTTCTGATGATGTACCTTGAAGGTGGGAGGAACCTTTAAAAACTGCAAGAACTCTGGGAAGGATATTCGAGGACAGGCAAATTGAACTGCTTTTCCACTCGCTGCCTAATGCTTACAGGACTGCTAGGAAGCCGAATATCACTGTGGTAGGGGGTGGGAAGGTTCCCGATGGTTGTATAAGGTATTTTCATAATGCATTCTGGGTATTGTAGTGAGAGAACACTGATGGATGTAAACACAAAAAAAGGATGAAAACTGTGAAATCTGTTAAACTGATGAGGCAGAGGTATGCAGTGTTGCTCTACACAATAATACATAACATAAAAATAACATTAATCTGTAGTTTTAGAACAGAACGCCCCTTTAAGGATCCTTAGGAGAAACATCAGCCAAAAAAGGGAGTTTGTCATGCACTTTTCTGTGCAATGCACAAGGGCAGTGATATATAAAGCAAGCTGAAAGCATTACCTATCCCAGCATATCATAAGCATGCAAATATGAGGAGCTGCAAGCTTCTTGCTATTCAAACATGAAACAGACAGTGAACGCGAAACGAATGCCAGAGTACAGTTAAAAGCAATCAGGCAGGACACGTGTTCATCTCTGCTTGCTTGGCAAAATAAATAAACAAAGAACAGCCGGATCGTTTTGAACCCTTGTCAAATAAATTCACAGAGGGAAAGGAACCAACTGTGGAATTGATGAGTGTGACTGTGCTGGTGACAGTGCATATTTGCATGAAGGGGCCAAACAGATCTGGCGCCAGTGCTGGAGCTCAATTATACGTCATGAAGACTGGCTGACATTTACTTGAACCAAACAGGCAGATAAATCTGAGCAGAGCACAGTACACAAACATAAATACAGTCAGGTGTTTGACACCGTCAGGTGAAACAGCAGTTTTATATCGTTTAATTATGCAGTCAGGTCACTCGCTGCTCCCCCTCCAGCCACGTTCCAATAAGTTTGCTCAACTGAAACAACAAAATGAAGTCACTAATTACATTTCTCTTTTCTAATGTAAGTGCTAAGGGCACGTAATGGCTGGCTGGGTTTCAGTGGTTCTCCCTAACCATGTCTGAAAATCTTAAATGGGTTCATAGTACCAGATGTTAAAGCCTATTTTGAAGGAACATAGAAACACTTTCCACCTGATCAGTATACGCCTGCTTTTCAAACATGATGGCAAAATTAGTCAGCAGTGCATTATGTATTGATATACTGTACTGTGCAAAAAATCTGAGACCTTCTCCAGTCAAAACGGCCAATGGGTATAAGTTAATAATTTATCAGGAGATATTTCTGAGAGGATCAGATATAAGAAAATCAACATGCATAAGGAAAGGTAAGATCAAAGAAAAATAGGTTTAAAAGAAAGAAAAGAATTTTCCAAAACTTTTAAAAGATAAAAGGTTTTAAAAGATAAAAAGTTAAAGGGTACAGAGCAAAACGGGACATCTAACAATCATGCAGGACCAGGCAGACCACCAAAACTGTCCCCATCAGATAAACAGCACCTGAAGTAGGCCAGTCACAATCACAAAATGATGATTAACTGCCATATAAATAACAGCAATTAACAAATTAATTGTCTTTTTTTTATTTATTGCATGCAACTGTTAAAGTCCAAGCCTAAAGCAGCCAACTAAACTCTCCCAACTGTTGACATACACAGCTAAAGTTCAAATGCTAAAGCACAGTGTCTATCCTCTGTTGAGTCACTCACTGAAGAGTTCCAAACTGCCTCTGGAAGCAACATCAGCAAAAGAACTGCACATTAGGAGATTCACGAAATGGGTTTCCATGACATTCCTTTTCCTTTTCTCGTCTGACTTTTTTCTGACTTTTGGATGATTGGCATAGGCAGATAATGTTTGAAATGATTCAATTATCCATAAGTGAACTGGATATTATAGGCAGCACATTAATTACATTACAGTAACTACATTACAGTAACTAACTAGCCCACGTTCCGGATCCACAGTCATGCTCACATAATGTTTTTCTCTCCTCCGCACAGCCAGTAACACAGTGGTTTTGCTCCTTTTAATTTTAAAATACCTCACCTTCACATTAACAATGCAGACTACCCGTCAAAAGTTTGGACACACATGATTGTATATTTTTCTTAAAAACAGTTTCATTTTAAGGCTCATGTCTAGATGTTCCAAAGTTGTTTTTTAAGACAAATATATGTATTCAAATTGATGCTTATATATGAATTTATGTCCAAAACAAAATAACCATTTTAAACATTGTTTGTTTAGAGGCTGCTTTAGGGTTGGAACCACAATCATTAAACCACCCTAAATGAAACAACGTGTGCCAAGTTAACAGTTTATTAGTGTAATGTCTGTCCTTGTTTATGCAGTATTATCTCTTGAAAAATGGGCAACTGTACAGTACAATATATATAACGATAGTAACCTAACAATCGGCTAAGCCAAGATGGCTCAGCAAGGCACTGCATGCTACTGATGCGATCAGTCCATCGTATTTTTAACATTTGCTTTGGTAACAAACAGAACCCCAGTGACAGCTGAACAGCCCTAAAGATATGAAGATTTAAAATGCCAATTTATTAAAACCCTGTTCAATTATATATCATGGTCCATGTTTTTGTAGGCATTAAGTATTTATATCAGTGTAATTAAACTTTCATCTTTACTGAAGCCCTGTTGAAAACAGCATCATAATTCTGGAGTGGCCTCGTTTGACACTTTCAAACATTTTGAAGTCTCTCTGATGGGCAAAGCTACAATTAGGGGCCATGTTGATTCCCAGTCTGTGTCTCATATTATTAAGCAAATGTGAAATGGTATAAGAATTCTCTCCATTCACTCTGTATATATGTATATTACATTTATACTTTCAACATCTATATTTTTTCTTACCGCTCCACCGTCCTTATTTGTACATATCGTAACTGTCAATTGTCGGTCACTTCTTGCAATTTATATACAAAAAAAACACTGTATTTCGCACTTCTGGTTAGATGCTAACTGCATTTTATTGACTCTGGACCTGTACTCTGCACAATGACGATAAACTTGAATCTAATCTAATCTAATGATTAGTATGAATTAGTATGAATATCATTTACAGCCATTGAATGTTGGTATTAGAATGAACAAATGAATCAGAAACATTACACTGCAAGAAACCGTCTGAGTGACCTTTAATATATTTCATTCTTGGTTTTACAGGCAGTAAACAGAACAGCCGTGACATTTACTCTCATCTACTTAATAGGCCTGTTGACTTTTAAAGAGGCACTGTTCACTTAAATGCTCATAACCCCCTGCTACAACATCTTAATCACGACAAGGCCTTGGGCTGAACACAAACTTCTACAGAGATGCTCAGACGGGCTAAATGCTTTTTGTCTGGGGATATAAACACCGTACCGCAGATGATGTTCAGAGACTGAGGTGGAAGCCCTGCTCATCACCTTGATAAATTTGGAACCTTAAAGTAGAACTAAAAATCTGAGAGGAAACTAATTCTATACATCTTACATGACAAGCCTCCAAAACTGACTACGACTTTTCAAGAGGTTCATCATCACACAGGATCGTAACCAGTTCAGCTACACCAATCACATTCTAAGATGCTGCAACTTGGAATATTTTTGCATTATCAGATCATTAAGATGTTAACAGTCAGTCAGAGTGGTTTGATGTGGAATGTGCGGTTCTAGATAAACTTGCCAAATCAGAATCTCTCAGGATTACTCACAGAGGTCCTGTGACAGGACAGAAAACGGTTAAGAATCTGCTGCCTGGTGTGTAAAACCTTGCTTTATGATAGTTTTGAGCATGTTTATGCCTAAAACATTTTTAAATATCCTTTCATGGCACAGAGGGTACATGCAGTGTGTCATGAGGTAAAACAGCCCCACTGATAACTATTTTTTCAGATTTTTTAAAGATCTGGCACTATTTTGCCATCATCAACATTATATATACAAACTCCACATGCAGGTTCACTGATCATTGTAGACAGTAGATAAAAGGGCTATATTTGCATTGCAGTTTTCACGACCCCTGGTTTCTATTACTACCACTGCAAAGAAATCTGAGTTGGTAAGTTTTTCTACAACTAACCATTCCATATCAAACCACTCTGAATGACTTTATTTACATCTCAACACTTGAATTATGCAGACATTTGAAAAACAGATAGGAGATAAAAGGAGATAAACTTTAAAACACAGAGCTAGGTGACATTTCAGAGCCTTACTGACCTGAAAACTTCCGTACACCTTCTTTAAACTCCTCCAGAACTTCATAGTGCTCTGCGCTGAAAGAGACATAAAACAATCTTGAGCAATATTAAAATTAATTATCATTTATTCATAATTAAAGCTTAATAATACAACTATGTGGTATCTTCCACACATTAGAGAAGATGTTGGGCTATACAGTAAGTAAAATGAAGCAAAGTATGTGAACAGATCATCTGCTTACAGGCTGTCCAGTGTGACCTGCGTGACTGTAGGCAGGCTGCTCAGTGTGTGCAGTGTATCCTGAGTCAGATGAGGCACCGTGGCACAGCGGGTGTAGAGGAGACAGCCTGGCACGTCTAATGAGTGTTGCCCCTTTTGCCCTATCCCAGTCAAAACGCCCAGCCGGCATCCTCGCACCACTTTAGACAATTCCAGCTTCATCACACTGACGTGTGGATATGAGTGACTGGCTACCTGAAATGTAAATGAAGACACATTAAGCACACAGAGGACTTAACCTACTCTTAACTGCACGTAACATACAGACCTAAGTCGCCATTTCACAGTCACTTTGCCTCAATTTCCACGTTTAAGTATCTATTTCAGCATTACAGAAATCTTATAGTTTATTATAGCATTACTACAGACTTTTTTGCAAGGGATATGGAGGATATGGGTTTGGTTCGATCCATCAAAAGCCAGAAAGGTGGGACACAGCAGTTTACAAACCTACATGATGGCAGCAGTGACAGATCATTTCATTCCCCACGCTAAGTAGCCCCCAATAACAAAAGTAAAATATGACTGACTGAAACAATACTGAGCCCCTAAGGTGACACAGTGATTAAGGTTACTTTTAAATAAGGCTATGAATTAATATATTAAAGCAACAAATTGATATACTGAGGCCACAACATAGGTTTCACATAACTCGTGGCTTCAATATATTAATCCATGCTCTCAATATAGTCAACTGGGGCCTCAGTATAATATCTCAATATAGTCATTTGTGGCCACGTCACCATGTCACTTTAGGGGCTCAGTAAAAACACATGTTAATTCTAATTTAGAAATGTTTTTCATCTGTAATTTTGAAATAATTCCTGAGTGGTTGTGTTTCTAAAAACGCAGCAAGATATCAATATTTAAGCGTTGCTGAAACATGACAGTATCCATGGATCCGTCTAGAAGATTTTACAGTACATAAACGTAACTGCGCAGATTAAAAACGCCAAACCTCTCAGCAAAACAGAGTCAGTGAAGTTAGCCTAGCACTGCCGCTGTGCCCGGCATTGGGAGCCGTTTCGCTAAGCTAACGTGTCAAACCGCGTATTGCTCAGAATCATAGCTATATATGGACAAATCTACCAACACAATGGTTTACGAACATATTATAATCGATCATGTATAAAAGTCTTTAAGCATCATCCGCTTACCAGCACAGCAAAACACGTGAACCAAGTCGCAGAATTATTACAGCAGCGTCTCACACGTACTACGTCACCGAGTAGTCCTTCAAAAAATCATACCACAGAATAAAATTAACAAATAAAGTTGGCCATTTTTTGCGAAAAAAGTTCACTATTTATGTAAAAAATGTTTTCAAAATGTAACATTTGCTACTAAAAACCCTGTCGAGTGTGAAAAAAGTCTGTTACCAAGGTTACCAAATGAACGCTTCGCTACATTTGAGTGTTGATGGGATTTGTAGTTTTACGCAAGAATATTCGAATCATCCCAGCTTAACGGTTGCACTACAATTCCCTCAATTCAACACGGTCAGGGATTCGACTCGTCGTGTTGTTAGATGTGTTAAATGTTTGCATGTTTTTTGTAGTTTTGCTGAAGAGTTTGTTTTTAAAAAATAACTCAAAGTTTAAACTTGTGACATGTGCAGCGTTTTACTGTACGTTCACAGAGCTATAAAAATGATGAAGAATTTTTTGTATGTGTTTTCTCTGTAACTGTATTAGCAGGCTACGTTTTCCGTAGGATTCCAGTCCTTCTCTGACATTAGCGACGTTACTCAGCTCGTTGTTTTATAAAACCTGAGGTAAAGAATGGCAAATCAGTCACACAGGCCAGATATTTTTCGCTGGAAAAGATTTACAAGGAGTGGAACCCAACCAAGCAGTAAGGCAAGTGAAGTGTGTCTTCTTTGACTGCTTGTTATCAGGATTGTGAGTCTATGGAAACTCTACTGGTAAAAATATATAGCCATTCAGTAAGTAATAATGAGAAAGTTTTCCATAATTATGACGCAGCATCTTATAATTATGACATAGCTTCTCATTATTATGACTTGCTATCTCATGATAATGAGATCCTATCTCATAATTATAACTTAGTATCTCATAATAATGGGATTCAATCTCATAATTATGACTTAATATTTCATAATTATGACTAGCGTCTCATTATTGTGACTCTTACATTCTCATAATTTCGACTGACAATCACAATTATGACTTAGTATTTAATAATAATGACATTTAATTTCATAATTATGACGTACTTTCTCATAATTATGACTTACTTTCTCATAACTATGATCATTTTTTTCTCATTATGAGATACTAAGTAATTATTATGAAATATTAGCTCATAAGTCATGATTATTCTCATTATTATGTAAATTATTATTATAATTATGTAAAACTTTATCATGACTTAAATGCTGATATATTTTCCTCTGGTGGCAGAAACGGGCTTCCATATGATTCTTTATGTTGCTAATGAAATAAGTATACGTTCCAGCATCTTCTTCATTAGATCAAATTATCTTATTTTCTGTGAGTCATACTAATTTTATTACTGTCAAAATTACACGCACACACTTAGGGTCAGTTTCTCAGTGATGGATTAAGCCCAGTCCTGGACACAACATTCTGAATGCAGATTCTCCATTGAAATGTCTGCATAATTCAGTGGTAAAAACAAAGTTGTTTAGGATGGTTTGATGTGAAATGCTCTGTTCTAGAGAAACTTACTGAGTGAGATTCTTTCACAGTGTTAAATAGAATATGGATATCTAAAACATTAATGTCTTTAAACACTACATCACAGCAGGTTATTACATTAAATGGTTATGAATATGTTGCCCAAGATGACTGAATGTATTACAGTAGTTTTGAAACAAGGTTTTGGACTACATTGATGGTGGATGGGTACATGTACAGCGTTGTAAGGCAAATGGTCCCCAAAGAAAGCTTTTTTGTTTCCTGATTTATGACAATTTTACTGTCATTAACATTACTTATAGAAACTGAGAAGACACTTGTAGGTTCACTGGTTGTTTTGGATAGTAAATAAAATGACTGTATTTGCATTGTAGACATCATGACACACATCAGACTTAAGAATGACTTTGTTTACATCTTAATTATTTATGCAGAAATTTAGAAAAATCGGTGGAATTTCCCCTTTAATCTCTGACCAGGAAACCAGCTGTTAGTGCCAGTTTCCTGGACATGGATTAAGTCTAATCTTGGACTGAATTTCAATGTAAATGGAGAATTACTGTTGGAAATTGGTTTTAGTCTAGGCTTAGCCTTTATTTAGTAACAAGGCTGATTTAGGATTTGGTGATGTAAATAAATGATGTTACTTTCCTAAATTTTCAAATATGATGGTTGGATTCAGTCTTTCATAGCATTCATTGAATTTAAAACAGTAATAGGTTTTGATTAGATTGAAAATGATTCTATAAAGCTTCCTTTAGAAGGTGGGTAAATGGACCTGGGGCCAAACCAAATGTTATTGATCTCTAAATACATCCTTTTGTTGTTTTTCACCTCAAATTGTAAAAGACTACCTTTATCGTTTGAAAAAAAGGTATTGTTTTTAAAAATATGCATAGTTTTTATTATCAAACTGTCCTGATATGTAAGGATTGCAAGCTATACTTTTTTTGGAAGAATTGCTGTTCTGCAGTTTAGCAGAATCTCTGGAGTCACTGGAGTTTTTAATGCAGTCTAGAGAGCCTGAGTTTAACTAACTCTGATTTCACTCACTTGTACCTTGACTTCATCCTCCTGATCCTGTACAAGAAGCTGTCTACTTAACAAAATCCAGACAGTCTTATTAATCCAAAAAAGGTGTCGACCTTACTAATCTCATAGAAAGTGCAGCTTATAGGAATTAGATGGACTCTCTGAGCAAATCTGGGTATGTATTATGCATATTTGTAGCGAGACATGGTTTCTAAGCAGGGTATTACATCTTAATACACATATGAATTATCTGAGCAGAGTCATCAGGGGAGGGTCAGCGCCACCCTAGTTCACTCACCTTCACTCCCACCCATCTATCTGACACTATAGTAAATAGTGGGCATTTTCTTCTCTTACCTTATAATCTGTGGTCTTAAATCTTTGTACACTTGATTCCCTCCTTTATGCAGGTGCAACTGACTGATGGTGATATAAACCAATGGATGAAGGTTAGTGTAAGAGAAACATGCAGTAAAGGGATATAATTAAGAGACAGTATAAGACAAAAAAGCTTAAAATCTGCTTATTTTAATTTTTTTCAGAGAGTCGAGATGGCGTCAGAGTTTGCTGTGTCTGAAGTATTCTCACCGCAGAAACGACACACTGCTAAACACAGCCAGGCTGTTGCCCTGCAAAGCTTGGAGCAACTACAGGACCATGATGACGCATACAGTGAGGGTACGGCCAGCTGATAAAATACTCTACTCAGGCCTTCATATTTACACAGTCACTTTTAACCCTTTGAAATCTAGGCTAGCAAAAGCAGTGCTAATTGGTTTTTATTTACATGACCATTTTCCGATCTTTTTTTTATGCCTTAGAATTAAACAGAGTGTTGTTGTTACCGTGTCTTTAATATATATATATATATATATATATATATATATATATATATATATATATGGTCTCTGCTCTGAATGGCTGCCCTGTATTGTGCCTCAAAAAGCAGTTCAGGCTGAAACACTCCTTATAACTTCAGGGTGGGTGGAGCTAAACTTCTTCAGGCTCAGTATTTGCATATATGTAAATATGATGGGATATTTTGCAAGTTTAACAATGTTTACATACTACATCAAACTCTTTTATTTAAAAAAAAGGAGTTTTCCATGACATGAGACTTATTGTTCAGTACTTTGATTATTCATCACTACTATGAAACTAAATCTGTAAGTTTCTTGGTTATGAAAGTAAAGAAGGGTTAAGGGTTTAATCATTCATACAGCATGTTTCTATACCTATACTGGCATGTTCCAGGTAAATGTATTATACATTTTATTATTAGTAGGATACTATGCTTTTACATATCAGAGACATGATATATTAGCATAACTAGTCATTTTAAGGGGTGAGTTTATGTTTGTTTGCTCTCTTCTGTCTTCTGTATCCTACAGCTCAAGCTATTCTTAGTGACTGGATGAATACAAAGTTGCGCCTAGAGTTGGAAATGGACGAGGAAGAGGAGGAGCTGATTGGTTCAAGTAAAACGCAAAGTCCAGAGAAGACAGCAAACCTGAACTACAAAAACTTTGATGGTGCATATTTATGTGCTATAACAAGTAGGGCTGCATAATATTGATTTTTCAACTTCCAGCGCCGCTGTGGGTGGCAGCCTTTTCCATAGGCTGCTAAATTTCCTTCGGGATCAATAAAGTATCTAACTATCTATCTATCTATCTAGAACCATATTGCGATTATATAGACCTGAAGTCATCGTTCTGTAGACAACGTTATACTCATATTAGGAACTCAGACTCTAAGCAGTTTTTCTATGTGGGAAAAATAATTGGTTTTCAAAAATCACTTCATGGCCTGTGGTATAAAAACTGTTCTAAAGCTGACATGTTTTTTCCTGTGTACGTTTTTCCCCCAAATGTCACTGGAACCTCTAAATCAAAAGGTCGTGTAGTAGTCAAAATATGAATATTACTACTATGGTAGAAGCAAGCTAATGCTACTGCGCATTGAAATGATGTTGCATGAAAGTAAGTCTACTGTTAAACTTTAACACTATTAAATTGCAACAGCAGCTGTTCAAACTGTGGTCTACTGCTGCCAAAGCAACCTAACTACCTAATGTAGCAAAGCATTTTTGTTTGTGTTCTAGCAAAATTAACAACCATGTATTTGAGAGGACATTCAGAGGAACGATGTATGCACGGCGAAATGTGATTGCTTTGGAACATTGTTACATATCACAAGGCATGATAGCTGCGATTTTTGAAAATCATCATGAAAATCATGATGAACAACGATCATGTCTTCTCAGAACTTGTGGCCTTCTTCTATGACATTACAGGTAACTTGTTAAGTGTGCAGGTTATGGTCATGAATTTTGATTTTGTTAGGCCTGTGTCTCATTTTCATAACATTTAATAACATTTATTTATTTATTAAATTAAATCATACTAAGTACAGATACAACTTCTGAGATTTTTTTTGCGGCCCACTCAGCACTCCCCTTTGGCGCCAGTTTGAGAGCCGCTGCCAAATCCAATGCCAGATTAACCACTTTTGATTCCCTAAAAACTCTTTCTTTAGAAAACTCAGTTGGAACCACTCAACTAAAAGGTGCTTTAGGGAGCCAAAAGGTTATTTTGTGGCATTGTTTCATTGGCACCTTCATTTTTTAATATTTGATTGTTTTTCATGTTTTTTTTTTATTTTCCCCATTTTCCTTATCCACCTTTCTTTCACTCTCTACCTCCATCAGATATGTATTCTCAACTTGCGCAGGAAGATGAGAGTTTTGAGGTGTACGACTTCCTCCAGGACCTGATGGAGACTGAATTGTTGGATTCTAGGGCAGTGGAGGGTCTCAGGCTAGATGCAGAGCCAGAGAGGAAATGCAGGGACCCCAGTATCACCATGCAGGTGCGTCATCAACAGGTGAAGGAGAGGCGCTTGCGGAGGGATGCAGAACGGGCAAAGCAGCGCAAGGAGCAAGAAGCACGGAGGGAGGCGCGAGAGGAGGCGCAGCGACTGGAGCGTGAGGAACAGAGAAAGAGGAAGCAGGAGGCCCGCAGGCAGGATGAGCTTCTACAGCAGGAGATGATGCGGCTGCGTAGAGAGATGGAGGAAAAGAGAAGCATGGAGCAGCTCGCGCGAAAGACGTAAAGCTTATCATTATACTATTAAAACAAAAAAACAAATTTACAAAATTGTATATGTGACATATGTGCTCAGTCAGCCAATACTTGCTTCTTTAGATTTTCAACTTTGAGGTTAATTTAGCAAATAAGCAAGTACCCCACTAATTAGCATTGTATTCCGCATACCTAAAGCTGCACTATGTACGTTTTGGGGATTTGGAGACCTCTCTGGTGGAAACATGTAATTACACACAATGTGCGGAAGAACATTTTGTAACGTCGGTTGTGCTTTGAACTCCAACAAGTGGATGAATCTGATGTTTGTGAGCTTGTTGAAAGAGTATTCAAAGAGAACTCAGTTCAAACCTGGTGTAAGCGAATTATTTACTATTGGCTGACTTGCAGCAGCGTACACACACCATATATTAGCATGTTCTTTTTTCTCCAGACTCAGTAATGCTACTTCTTCTTTTAACAAAAAACAAAAATTACGTAGTGCTGCTATAATCCCTTAAAATCTCAGGCCTATTCATACTAAGACTATTCTACGGTTATAGAAGTGTGTAATAAAACTTTGGGCCTGTCATCGGGCCCTGGCCTTTTAAGGGGTTAAATCATCAAAGACTTGCTTCAAACTGAGTTGTCACATAAAAAATTTAGTCAGGCAAAATGCCTGCAAAACACAGGTGTAGGGCTCTAAGGACTAAGCAACATACTTCTATTTATTTTTATAGCTCTACAGTAGCCTTGTAGCCCCAGTGCAAGAGTACTGAAGCAAATATCACCAAACATTTTTTGACTGATCAAATACATTTGTGGTGGAAAATTATTAATTGGTTGCCAAGGTACTGCTTTAAAAGGGAATTCGATTTTTTTTTTAAGAATTTCTGCATAATTACACCATTATCATGTCAGCAAAGTCTTTCAGAGTAGTTTGATGTGAAATGCTTTGTTCTAAAGAAATGTACCTAGTCAGAATTTCTTCACAGTGGTGGTGATAGTAACCAGACATCCAAATCATTCACAAAACATCACAGAAAATTATAAATGGAGATACAACTGAACTTAAATATATTTTGTAAAATGCATTCGTGGTGAAAAGGTACATGCAGGGTGTTGGAAGGCAAAATATACTGTAAAGAAAAAACTTATTTATTCCGATTATTCAGTGTTACCCTATAAAAACCCAGAAAAAGTGTAGATTTATGCTGGTTTTGGATAGTAAATAAAATTTAACATTTGCACTGTAGACTTTGTGACCCCTCATTCCTATCAACATCACTATAAAGAAATTCGAGCCAGTAAGTTTCTCTACAATGAGCCATTTTACAATAAACCAATCTGAATGACTGTATTTATATCTTGACACTTGAATTGTGCAGAGATTTTGAAAAATCAGTGGAATTCCCCTTTAAACGACAGAACAGTGAGTAAGCTATGTATACACGCCATAAAGTGGCAGCAAATAATGTTTCCTGTATTTCTGTGGAACAGAGAACGCGAGAGGATGGAAAAGCAGCGAGTGAGTCGACGCTCTCTAGCACCAAAGCCTGACTCACAGAGGCAGCTGCAACGCAGAGAGCAGGAAGTGGAGGCAAGGGTGCACATTCTCAATCTGCAGGTTAGCATGTTGCCAATGTGCTAATGTGAAGTGGAGATTGTAGGATTATATGTATGTGTATCGTGATATCACTTCAGTGGGTTAGTAATGGTGTGAGTATGTGTGTTCTAGTGCATGCAGAAGCATTTCTCAGCCTGGTACTCAGTGGTACTGGACAAGAGGGTGCGGCTGGGTAAGGCAGCAGCGCTCTGTGATTGGAAGAGGCAGCTGAGAGCGTGGCGGGCGTGGCGAGCGCTGGTGTGGGTGAAGAGAGAGGAGAGAGAGGCTGAGAGAACAGAGGAGGAACTGAGGATGGATAACAGGCAAGAACATCCACACACATGCACACACACACACACACACACACACACACACACACACACACACATACACACTTAGCAATGCAAACTAATGCTAGCCTGCAACTAGCATTTGGAATACAGTGGAATAACCCTGCACATATAACTGTAGTGCCATTTAATTCCTTTTAGCCTTGTCTGTTAATTAACTGAGAAATTGGTCAAAGCTTGTCTCAGTGAATATTTCAACGGATAGTCCAACAGTTTAAGAACTGCTGAACTCAATAAGTGATTTTTGGCAAGTTTTTCACTGTAATGAATAATAACATTAAGAGATTCAGGGAAACTTGAGAAATCTCTGTGCATAAAGGGCAAGGGAAAAACCACAACACTATGTTTGTGACCTTCGATCCATCAGGAAGCACTGCATTAACACTGCATCTGAAATATTGTTTGTTACTGTATCCACAAATGCAAGTTAAGACTGTATTATGCACAGTCCAGAAACACCTCCGACTTCTCTGAGCTTGAGTTCATCTGAAATGGACTGATGCACAGTGCAAACATCTATTGTAGTCTGATAAGTTAACCTTTCAGAGTGTTTGTGGATATAAGAGACATGTGTTCTCCAGATCATCTAGATTGTTGCCAGCATAAAGTACAGTTCAAAGCCAGGGTCTGTCATGGTTTGGGGGTGTTTCAGTGGGTAATTTGCCGATCTGTGAAATCTGTGAAGGCACCATTAACGCTGAAAGAGCACATATGCACATTTTTGAGCAACATGTGCTGCCTTCCAGATGACGTCTTTTTCAGGAACATCCATGCTTACTTCAGCATGACACTGCCAAGCCACTTTATGCAAGTATTATAATAGCATGGCAATGTAATCAGAGAGTGCGGGTGTTAGTCTGACCTGCCTGCAGTCTAGACCTTTCTTTCATTGGTAATGTGAGGCATGTTACCTTACAGATTATGCATGGAAATAATGGACATCATGTTCTCTAGGTCAAAGGAGAAGATTGTTACCAACATAAAGTTGAAACTGCAGGGCTCTTAAACTCTAAGGATATTAATCCATTATTAGTTTTAGGGCTTTTTAAGGCTTTAATCCAATAACTATTTTGAACTATTCAGTAACGTGTGTGTAAATTGAGTGAGGTTTTTAAGTGTGGACCAGCTGGCACCTCCTTACAGTTTAAGCTGTTGAGAATAACGTTAGGAATATGAAAAAGTATTCTTACATTTTGGAAAGTTGCACTTTGAAATCTCTCAGCAACATTATAAGATTAAAACTTGAAAAAAGGATATTTACATTCACTTTTCAAATTCACACTCTTTGCTTGGAGGGAGTCTGAGGCGTTCATTTGCTTAATGGATCTATTCATTGTTCGCCATAAAAGACTCTGACAGTGACAACAGGGAGCCTCAGCTAAACCCAGCCAGCACTGCAGGCCAGTAGCAGTCGTCTTGGTGGGTCTTGAGGTGTGTTTTCTCTCCCTGTAGGCGCCATCAAGTTGCGGCAGAGAGTGACCGGAGACGGCTTTTGAGGCGCTGTCTTAATGACTGGCGGTTGTGGTGCCGAATGGAAAAGGAACGCAGGGAACTCCTCAGCCAGCAGGAGGAAACAAGGCAAAAAATGGCCGCCCTGATCAGCGCCGCTGCTTCTGGGAAACTGACCAGAGAGAACTGCAGCGAACGACCACTTGCTGACATGCCTAATACATCCACCAAATTTGAGTACAGCACTCAACCTGTGAGTGAAATACTTAAATATACTTAACAAGATACAGTGTCAGTCAAAAGTTTGATTTTTCTTATTTTTACTATTTTCCACATTTTATAATAAAAGTGAAGACATAAAAACTAAGAAATAACACAGTAACAAAAACAACACAATAACAAGTAACAGAAGTGTTATATAAAAATATCCTGTATTTTAGATACTTTTAGAAAGTAGACCCCCGTTGATGTAGCTTTATTCACTCTTGATCATCCTCCTAAGCAGCTTCATGAGGAGCCATCTGAGATGATTTTAGCAGGACTGAAGAAGATACCCAGATGCTGACACCACTTGTTGGGGCATTTAAAAATCATACAGTACTATGCAAAGTCAGAAACAAGTCAAAACGGTCATTAGGTGTAAGTTTCATCATCAGCATCAGTATTTAGTTTGTCTACCTTTTGTCTTTATTACAGTTTCCTTACTTTTCAGAAGAGTTGCTTTCAGTTTTTCAAAGAGATCTAAAGGAATATTTTTCCACTCCTCCAAAGTTCAGTCTTAGAAGCTGGCTGTATTTTCTTTGTAATGCCAATTATAATCCATAAAACCTTCTTTCACAGCTCAGATGTCCAGTTTCAGTGTTCTAGTGCAAATTTCCTTCTTTCAGTAACAGCTGTCCTTTCAGACCCATAGCATTAAGTTGCCTTCTCACAGTGGAAGGATGAGTAGTTTTCAGATCTAGAGCAAGAGTGGAGCTTGATTTTCTCCTATCTTTCAAAGATGAAAGTTTTAAGTACTGTTTACCTTGATTGAGGTGGTTCTACCAGGTCTTGCATGGTCTTGCATGGTTGTTGGGAGTCCCACTATCTCTGGCTCTGTATCATTTTTTAAACTCCAGTTCCAGAAACCTTTGTTTTTTTACTTATTTTCCTTTGAATTTCCCCTTCTTTATCTATCCAACCTTATCTAACCTTCTCAGAAACATCTCCTGAAAAATGAGTAACTCGTACCTAATTGTAGTTTTGACTGGCAGTTAAACAAATGAAGGGTATCTGATATTTGTACCATAATTTATATATATTTTCATTTTTCAATGAAAATAGTAGTGCTATATATTAGGTGCCTCTGCATTATTTAAACATAGTAAGACTTTCCAAAAAAAGTTACTCACCTTGTTTGACACCTTGCTTGCATTGCTTCATTGTAGCAGCAGAGAAACTTTCCCTTGTTGAATATTCAGAGCCAGTAAAAATGTGTCCCTCCTGACTTTGTTAGTGAATACGAAGAAGCATTGTGAGACTGGGAGAGATAAAACTGAGACGCGAAGGACAGAGTTAATTAAACTGAAAATAACAAGGTAAAAGGGAACGTTAGATAGTGCAAACATATGAGCTTTACTTTGTCAGCTCCCCCACTGTGTAATTATCCGTGCCCCCCAGCCTCAGCACTGGAGAGATATGAGAGTAATAAAGGATTTTTCATGGTATCCTCTTCAGACTGCATTGGAGATGACAATTTACAAGGTCTAATACCCTGTTCATATATACATTTTACCACCAGATCCAGGCACCAGTGCAAGGGGTCACCTCAGCTTCTGCCCCGCCCACTGTGACTAACAGGAAAATGGCCCCTCCCACTCAGGCCTGGCAGGTGACACGTCGCCATGCTGCTCTTTCACCAACAGAACTCCTTCGAGCTCAACAGAGGCAGCCCCTGAATAGCGTCCCCCGCAGCCAGAGTGTAGAGGTAGTTGTAGTAGTTGTGAAAAAAACATTCAATTTCTTTTTTAAAGTGATGGTTCAGCTAAACCTGTTTCCCCTTCAGGACTGCAACTGCTAAAAACAGTAATATAATATAGAGATATTAACTTGAAGCTGACGTGAAACAAAGGCCCATGTGTGATTGTTTTAGAGAGGAGTTTGTATTTTTCCATTTTTATTTATGTATATGCAGCTTAAAATTTTATCAACCCCAACTTACAACACCTTCCCGTGTCCCTGCCCTTACCCCAGTTGTAGTCAGCCAAGATACAGGGTGATTCAAAAAGATTCATCTGATTTCAAAATGATGTGTTTCACTCGTAAATCATTACAGAACAATTTAATAAATTGTAAATGGTTTGAATGAGCATAAAGTTTATTATGTAATTTTACAAGTGCTCAGTATGAACGTCCTCCAGCTGTACGGACAACATCAAAACCATAGTCAAATTCATCCCATACTCGATTGAGCGTGTTGGGTGTCACTTTACTCACTGCTCTTTCAGGGCGATTTCGAGATCATCCAGTGTTGTGGTACCAACGATGACCGCTCTGAGCTGTTGGAGATTCACTAGCGACGAAAATCGTGTTGCACAGTTGTGAGGGATTCACTCTTTAAGTGGAGAATGCAAAACGCTTTCTGCTCAACATTTAGGACATTGTTTTCAATTGAACGTTGGTGATGGTGTTTGTATATGCTATGGCCCATAAAGCAACACTTTAACCATTAGTGAACTTTAATCACGTTTTTTTAGGTTTCTGTATGACATGTTTAACAAAACATTTCTTTCAGAGAAAAAAACACTTTTAGCACAACATCTAACTGATGGCAGACAGAATTGCCTGTTTAATACCACTTGGTGTGACCTTTTCTTTCCCAATACAATGAATTTAATACTTTTTAAAGTTTGGCACAAATGTCTAAATAATTTTTGTTGCCATTGTCTAAGTGATGGAGTCAGTGAATCAACTGTAAATCATGTCCAGTCTTGCTGTAGATATACAGGAATTTACTGTGTTTCACAGTGTTATTAATTACACAAGCAATCAATTAAGCAATCTTAAATAGACTTGCTTACACAGTTTCTAAAACTGTATGCTGTACTGTTATATATAAAAATAAACAAAAGTATATTGCATAGTTACAAACAGTAGTAGCACATATCTTGAACCAGAATTACATCCTTACTTTTGTCATTTTTTATAGACAACAGTTTGTCATACAGTGTCAGAAACCACATAAGCAAGTCTGTTTTAGATAACAAACTGCATCAGTCTTGTTAAGTTATCTAAAATAGACTTGCTTGCTGAACCAACACGTCCGTTTACAAGTCTGTTTACTAACATATGACAATTAAACTGTAGGTGTGCGGTGGCCGGTTTGAGCATCGTTACGCAGCCCAGCAGCAGACCATTGCAGAGCAGAGACGTCTCCTCAAAGAGCAACAGGAGCTGATCTCATGCCTGCAGGAGAGACAGAATTTTCTGGAGCTCAGGCAGGAGGCAGAGAGAACTGCAGAGTCAGCAGCAGCGACTCCAACAGCCCAACCCAAAAACTCAGCACCTCACATCATTACACACGCCAGCACAGGTGGTGGAGATGCTGAGACAAGGTACCTTCCTGGACAGCTCACGTTATGAAGTATAATTTATCTACAGTCTTACTTTTTTTTATGCTATTCAAAATACTAAACTTAATTTCAAAAAACATTGTCTCATTCACCAATATCTTCCTAAGTTGCTTCTTAAATGTGTTCTTGAGAAGGGTCATCAAAAAAAGTCTACGTCAGATTCATGACGTGTCCTTAAACCGCAGAATTGTTCACACCTTTGTGCTCTTGAGTGTGTGAGGATTCTGATCTTACCTAAGAACAAATCCCAAATGAGAAAACATTGGTGAATGTCAGAATCTTCGTGAAAACTGCGTATTATGTTTTTTTTCTGTTAGCATTTCATATACTGCCTGAACTTTTTTAGAATTGAGTTTTTTCTTTTGTCCATTTTTATAGATAACAGTGTGTTATTCATGCAGTGTCAGAAACCATATAAGCAAGTCTATTTGAGATTGCTTAACAACTCAACATGGTTTGAAGGAAGTGTGTGATGATTTAGGCCTATAGTTTGCAAGATGCTAATTGGTGTACAGAAGCTTCCATTACTTGTCAGCTACATTCGCTTTGTAGTTCCTGTGCAAAAGTAAAGAAGAAAATTTCAGACATCAAACATGTCTTGGTTGATTGACTGCAGTGGGGGTAAAATTGTGTAAATTAGTTTTTTGACAAAATTTTGCTTTAAAAGCAGATTCCTCTGTTGGAAGCCTTAGACAATGAGATTATTTCTATATCGATCTAAACCTAATTTTCTGCCTGTTTTGTATAATAAAGGAATTCATTGGGAGGGAAGCTATTGTAATCCCCTGAATTAATTATAGCTGATGCCTCATTGCTTTGTGCTATTGTGAGCAGACAGACAGGTGAATAGAGAAAAGAAGATTCAGATAGAGAGAGTCACTAAGGTATTCCTGCATCTCACAATTCTAGATCAAACAGAGCCTCAAGGGAAGACAGTGCCAGTCATCCAACCCCCAAAGCCACAGCCAGTCGCCAAATGGCTCCTCACCCTGCAGTACGAGGTCAGTTCTACCTACACTGAGACAATTCACACCTCCACTAAGTTGAAACAGGCCTGCCAGTGTGGTGACAGCACAAATCCCCTCATGCTTTTCTGCAGTAAAATAATCCAGCAGTGAAGTCACTGCCTCTCAGGCTGTATTTAGTGCCATGTGGGAGGACTGAGAATAGAAGAGGCAGTTTAGCCGTACGGGGGCAACGTAAGGGCTCCTAGGTGTGAGGATGAAAGATTTTAGCACCCCTTCTCTGCACAAAAGGTATAAATCTTAAACACCCTGCATCCAAAACAGTGATTACACCCACGCTCAGTTTCACTTGCCAGTATAGACCTAAATAAAGCCAAACCAAAATATTGATTGCAAGCACATTCACTTCTGTTCAAAAGTTTGGAATTAACGTTTACAAAAACATATTTGGTTGAAGATACAGTGTGGTCCAAAAGTCTGAGACCACATTGAAAATCTGGGATGTTTTTCATGTGAAGCTGCACTGTGTACTTTTTTTGTGGAAATTGAAAATGATAGCATTATTGAGTCAGAGGGTGTGCGTGTGCTGCTGTGAGTCACCCTGAAAGCCTGAAATAATTATTTAAAAGTCTGAGGCGTCAAGTCAGATTTGGCAGGAGTTTTTGAACCACCTCCTTCGTCTTTACTTATTAACATCATGCGCACAGGCTGAAAAAAGAAGGTCTGGCTTTCAATTGAAATATCAGCATCACACTGATGAAAATATCATGACAGGAGATAATTTACTTATGTCCTCCGAAGACACAACCGTCTCCAGATTTTGACTGAGTTCTCTTTGAATACTCTTTAAATACACTTGCATTGATCAGATTCATCTGCTCAGGGAAGGGTTCTGAAGCAGAACCCACATTACAAAATGTTCCGCACATTGTGTGCAATTACACATTTCCACCAGAGAGGTCTCCAAATCCCCATATCCTTAAATCTTACAGAGTGTAGCTTTAAACCTGCAAATAAATAACAGAAAGTTCAATCATTTTTAAAAGTTTGAAACAAAGAAAGGTTAGGACAAGTAAAATGAAGATTCTACCATGTTTCTGGGTCACTGTTTAAATTGTGACATTGACCATGTGACTGTGGCCTTTTTAATCTTATCTCTTCCATTGAAGCTCATGTTCATACGACTCTGAGGTGAATCTGATCTAATCACATGCTTTTGCACAAACTTGCTCAAGTGCATGCTGTCATTAAAGAAAAAGGAGGACCAAATATCAAATACTGAGAAATTCTAAAATTTACGTTAAAATTACTTTTCACTCAAATTGCAAAACTATTTTCACTAGCAGTATCAGATGTTTGGTCTCCACTGTACACACACGTGTATTCTAATACATTAGTCCTGTACAACCATACACATTTCAAATAATTATTAGAAAGCTAAGAAGCTTAAAGAAGCGTAAAAAGAATTAATTATATATGTGTCCAGAATCATGAACAGAGCCATAAGAGATTCTGACTGAGAAAGCTGTACAGCATCGAAAAATAAAGTTATAACAAAATAACACTGTATTATTTATCATTTAATGACTGCTGTATTGTAAACATTAAATGAAACATCTGAATATACATGTTGGTGTTTAGCTTATGAAACTACTCTGTGTAAGTTATTGTTGCATATAAAATAACATGAATTATTAATATGAAAAGTAAATACAAATGTTTGAACAGTATTGCACATGACAGAGATCTTAAGGCAAAATGCTGCCTAGAGACCCCATACCTGACCTTCAGCCTCACACTTTCGCTCTCTCCTTCTCAGCCATGGAGGAGCGAGCGCGGCTGCGTGCAGAACGCAGGAGGGAGGTGGAGGAGATGAAGAGAAGGCGAGAAGAGGAGAAGTTGGTGAGCATTAAACAGTGACGGTAGTCCAGTGGTTCCTAGTTCTAGAGGATGAACCCTGTCCTGCATATTATAGTGTTTACCCTGCTCCAGCATCCAATTCATTTTAACCATTTTTGCTATTTTGTATTTTTGTCATATTATCCCGGCACATCTTCTACAGAGAACACAGTAACATTTTAGTGCACGATTTCTGTTTCAGAGAACACTCTTCTGCACATTTTACACAATTTCACAATTTGCTGTATTTAACGTGTTTGAAAGAAATAAAACATAAAATATGCACTTTCGTACCAGCATCACTTAACGTTTTATTTTTTTCCCATTATGTTAAATACAGCAAGCTGTGAAATTGTGTAAAATGTGCAGAAGTGTGTTCATTTATTTTCACGTTTGCATATGACTTTAGCTCCACTCAGATATTACATTAATATGAGATGCGATATCCTTTGCTTGGAGTAAGGTGAAAATGGTATAAACTGTTTTGTTAATATGAATATGCACTACATGCATGTTTGTCTGCTTATCTGTGGTTTTACTCTGCACACTCAGTCAAAAACTACTAGATACATTATTCATATTCATTCATTCATTTCATTCATTTCCAGCCCAACAACCATTAAGTACTAGTTATTTATTTTTTAGGAGATATTTCTTCAGAGATTAGATATACGTTTCTGCAACTTAGGTTAAAATAAAATAAAAAAAAACAGAGAAAGTGGGACTCCTAACAACCACACAAGACCTGGCAGACCACCAAAACTGTCCCTATCAGATAAGCAGTACTTCTGAAAGGATGTGAAGCTGTCAGAAAGCCCTCACTGAGAAAAGGAAATAGATAAAAAAGAAAAATGGAAATGGAACAAAGAAGCTGCTGGTGTTTTCAGAACAATGGACTGACCACCCCAGAGTTCAGGCCTCAACATCACTGAATGTGTTTTGGATTGTTTGGATGGTAAGACACAGAAAATGCAACCAACTTCTAAGACTGAACTTTGGAGGTTTGGAATGGAAGCTGTAATAAAGGCAAAGAGTGGACACACTAAATACTGCAAATTTGATACTATTTTTAGTTTTTTAGTTGAGGCTTCTGTGCACTTTTCTGTTATATATACGTTTTATGCTTTTTTATAGACACAGAAAAATGAATGACTTAATGACTGTTTTGACTGCACAAATGAAGGGTGGTCTCTGATTGTACAGTACTGTATTTCAGAAATACCTTATTAAGTTAATGAATAATATGAGTTCAGATATCTGTATGTTTGAATAGCCCCCAATTTTACCCCCAGGCTCAGATGAAGACTGCAGAGGAGGAGAGACTGAGGCAGGAGGAGGAGGAGAAACGCATAGCAGCAGAAAGGAGGAAGGAGGAAAGGAGACAACAGAGAGAGGTGTGTGTATGTGCTGGTGTGTGTTAACCAGCTGTATTTGCAGTTTGCTCACACCACTGCTGTGTGAGCAGTTTCAGACAGCTCAGTGATGAAGATAAGAGTCTTGAAGTGGGTGACAGTTTACCAACGGAGATAAATATGCAGCCGGGACATCAAAAGATAACATAATAACACCCAAAGGATTTGTATTTGGCGAGTCATTCTCAGTCATCTATTACATTTTATGCTCCAAACCGTTTCACCGAGCAGCTTATAGCTCTGGCTGTTTGCATGCATTCACAGTTCATTTGTTCATTTAAACCCCACACTGCTATATCAGATGGCGCTTGCTTTAATGGACTTGCACTTTCCTCCTAACTCCCTGACAGAGGAGAAGTTGCTGAGAAATCTTTAGTATCCTGGCGCAGGTCCTGGCACCGACTGCTTAATTAGCTTTCTCCAGCACTGACAGAACAGCATAGATCATCCAATATCAACCCCCAGTAGCTCATCTTCTCCACAGCAGTGGTCTGAATGTAATTTAGATCCAAGATTAGCCTCTATTCCCTTATATGCTAAAATAGTTTCCTTAGTTTTGCTTATGTTACAGATCAGGGCTGTCCCATATGGATTATTTTGGACTACAAAGCTTTATAGCACAGTTGAGCAAACAGTGAATGCTAAAGAACTGGCCTATTTAGTTCTTGAGTAGCATTATTTATTCTGGTGCTAAAACTATATATACTTTTGAGCTACAGATTGGCAAAAAATCTAATTTATCTCATGTTGTCTATTGCCGACTAGCCAAGATGTTTGCTTCTTTGGTTTTGCACTGGAGCTATGAGACTAATGCAGCTAACCACTCAGCACTGTGAGAGCTGTATGCCTAAAACACACTTTCCCCAAACAATGTTAAGTAATCTCAAATAGACTTGCTTATGTGATTTATCACACTGTAAAACATACCGGCATCTATATGTCTATCTAAATGTATGTCACATAGCTAAAAACAAAAGTACTAAACATCTTGATGATGATGATGATGATCTATTTGATAATTAAATAAGATACAAATAAGACTGCATTCATACAGAACTTACAAGCATTTAAAAAAAAACACAATAAAGCCCTTAGGTTTATTGTGGTCCTCATAAAAGATATCAAGATGACAGATCGTAATAATCAGGCAAGAACAGAGAATAAAAATTACTATAAAGTAATACCAATGCACATTGTCACATATTTAGCAGCCATTTCTTCAAAAGACACTTAAAGTTCCTCTCAACTTGCAGCTTTTTAAGAAAAGCAGGAGGTCTGTTCCATGTAACTGCAGCTGTTTAAAAAATGTATTTTTACCAATTAAGCTGTTACACATAATGTAATCTTGAAACAAGTATGTGATGATTGAAGACTGATTTATATTTCAGTGGATTATTATAAGTTAAAGTGAACATCAATGATTTAGCATAGTTCACTTTAGCCTTAGCCAGAAACGGTCGCTAACTCCAAGATAGAATTAGCTAGAATGCAATGCTCAGTACAATAAACTGTTAAAAATAATGTAATCTTGAAACAAATATGTGATGATTGAAGACTGATTTACGTTTGTGCTTTTTTTAATGTTACAATGACTTTTATTTAGTGATATTTGAGATAGAACTTCAATGATTAGCGTAGTTCACTTTAGCCTTAGCTAGAAACAGTCGCTAACTCAGCCTAGTTAGAATTAGTAACAATGCTATGCTCAGTGGTACCAAACAACACAATACCATTAGAAAAAAATAAAATTAGTTTATACAGATCCTATATTTCTGTGAAGGTGCACATAAACGTATATGCCTCAGGACACAGAGAAGGGGTTCATGGGTAAGTGTAGCTAGCAGATTCTTACAGAGGCCATAACGTGCGCACCTTTAAAATCTCACGCTTTGTGCAAACCTACAGAGCTGTGTGTCTGATTAGCTCTCCAGTAGTGTTGGGAGCAGGACGAGACCCAAACAATACTTGACTCAAACCAGAACTTGCACAAAATCAAATGGAGCAGGTCAAGGATCGGCTAGCAGTTTGCACTATGCTAATTAGTGATATAATGGTTCTGTTACTTGTTGGCTACATTAGCCTCACAGCTCCACTGTAAAACTCCAGACACCAAACATTTCATGGCTGATCAACTACGTCTGGGGTACAATTGTGTAAATTAGATTTTTTGCCAAACTAACACTTTAGTATGCTGCACTACATTGCCTTAAAAAATGATCTGTCTGTGTGTTTAGAGAGAGCTGGAGAAGCAGAAGAGAATGGAGCGGGAGCAGAAGTTGTTGAAGCAGGCGCAAGAACACTACCACAGATCACTGCTACTGTACAAAGGCCTGGCGCCATGGAAACGCCTGGTGGAGAAGAGTCATACCGGTACTCAGGTCAGCAGACGTACACAGATATAAGCTGCCAATCAAAAGTTTGTCAACAAGACGTTCTTAAATGATAAATAACATACTGTAATTGTCCATTTATGCAATTACCTGAAATTCTATTCGTTATCTACCTTGAGACATCACTTTTGAAATCAGAGGCATATTAATATTCATTTGAATGTAATGTTATTCTTCTTTTAAAAAAAGAGGGGGAGGTTGATAAGTAGCGCTTAGCATTGGACCTGTTGAAGGAAGATTGCGAGGTCGAGCCTCGACAATGCCACTGCCAACTGTGGCTATGAGTCCAAGATGGACCTCTGAAGTTGCTGTCATTCTGTAGTTGTCGTCATAATAATTCTCTCATTAGGAACTCTGTGTTTGAGCCGGTTTAATAGTAGACTTACTTTCATGTCACATCATTTCAGTGCACAGGAACTGTTAACTTGCCTGCATTATGTTTGTGGCATTCTATGCATTTTGACTTAATTTAGGGGAAAATATACACAGGACTAAACAAATCAGGTTTGGATTATTGTGGTTTACCACAGGATGCGATGAAACACTGTTTATTTTCTCATAGAGAAAACCAGTTTTCACATAGAGTTTCTAATATGAGCAAGATGCCGAATGGAGAGTGATGGACGACTTCAGAGGTACTTTGGCCTTACTCTCTGGGTGTGTAGGATGGTCCCCCCCCACTCACTCAGCATGATGTTAGCCAGCATGGGTGTCTATTAGCTCATGTAACAGAATGGGCAGTTAATGGTCTGCTCCGATCCTGTTGAGCTTTTCAGTGATTTTGCGTCAAAAGAACCACTTTGGTAACAAAAAAAAAAATCAGTATCTGGTTCTTTAAAGAACTATTGTTGCAAATGAGATGTGTGAAGTGTGAAGAACCATTTAAAAGTTAAAAGAACCTCCACACAATGTGAAGATTCTATGAAAACCGTTAAATCGGTATAGAAACTTTACATTATGTAAAGCTTCTAAAGCTTACAAATCTCTTTTTAGCTCTTTAGGGAACCAAAAGTGTTTTTTTTACTCAGGTGTTTTGGGTGTTTTGTTATTGTGATAAACAATATGCTTTTCTGAGCATATCGTAAGTATCATCAGTACTTAAAGAACACAGAAAAACTGCACGTTTAATTTCAAAAGAGAGCTTAATTAGTCTTGTTTAGCAGGATTTAGTGCAGAACATTATGTGAAATGCTGAATAACAACCACTGTATCCAGAATTTTTGACAGCAGTTTTTAAATGTGGTGCACTGTGTCTGTGTCAAAATATTGTGATGGATACCGTGTATCATGAAAATGTCTTTACATATTGTGATAATATAGCCCTAAATGTTAGCATCATATTAGAAACGTTATACATATGTGTATCTGCACCCACATTGGTTTTATGTTATTGAAGTGATTCCAAACTTTTGAACTGTCTCCAACATCCATCAAGTTATTAGACGCTTCTTTATTGACACTCTTACAGTTTCAGTTCCACACTGACTGGAAGACCAGATGTTGCCTTTCACACAGCACTGGGTTCAGTCCTTGGGTTTCTGATATTTGTGGTGTATTGTTGCTTTTGCACCTGTCGAAACACCTGTTATCATAATGGATTAAGAGGGACAGGGTGTTTTGGCGGTGTAAGGGGGTGGTGAGTGATGGATAAAAGGAGAAGAAAAAAAAGAAGAAAAATGGGTGACATTGAGTCACTAGAACTCTAGTCGGATTTCATGCAGCAGCGATTTTCAGCCCCCTGATAAACAATGCTCTTTTCATTGATTTATACCTGTGAGAGAACTATACTCTAAATCCAATTAGTGCCAAATGCAGCTAGCCTTCAGCAAAGGAGCGTCTGCCAACCAGATGGCCCTCGAGTCCTTTTGGGAGTAGAAAGCAGAATTGTCCATTGAACCGTAAAGATTCATTATACACCAGTCTGCCAGGCTGTGCATTCCTGCTCTAGTGTATACGAGTCCTTCCATTGTATCTCAGCCATACTTCATGCTCCATGGAGAACACAGGCTCTTCACCTCTGCCTAGTCAACATAAACAGTAAAGAGGGAAGAAAGCAATCCAATGAGACACCCAATTAGATGCACTCTGATGTGTTCTCAGTCACAACCAACCACAGCTGACACTACGACACAATGACACTACGTCAGAGACTTAATGGTCTCAGACTTTTGCAGTGATATATATATATATATTTGTAGGTTAGCTAAGTACTTTTTGTTTCAATGTAGACAATTGTGGTTAGGTTTTGTTTTGTTCTTTTGTTTGGTGCCATTCCAGTGTGGCACTAGGCATCATAGCACATCATTTTATTGTGGTTGGTTTTAATAAAATAGCTTCAAAAGCTCTATTGGTCTGTTCCCCAAGCTTTTAATCCGTCATCACCAGTCATCACCAGTCATCAACAGTCTTTTAATGCCACACGTTGCTGACCCCACAATGCCCTACACAACAATATATATCGCTGTTGTCAGAACAAAACCTTTTGTATCTCCAAAATGTTAACTTTACAGGAGAAGGAAAAAACATATGTTACTTGTAAAGTAAGTCAATGGAACCAGAATTTTTTCCAAGTAATTTTGGGCCATTTCTTTTCGTCCATTTACATTTCATCCGTGACAAAAATGGAGATACAAGGTTTTGTACAGCAGCGATATATATATGTATATATAATATATATATATATATATATATATATATAATATATATATATATATATATATAAGGTTTTGTACAGCAGCGATATATATATGTGTATATATTTTTTTAATAATGTAAACAAAACAGTACACCAACCATTTTTATGTCAGAAAAGTTTGCCCAAAATGATAGTAACTTGTGATTGCTGTTAACTTCCCAAAATGCTGTTGAATCGCCACCTTTAATTTTTATTCTGATTATATACTGCTCTAAAACAGAACAAGCCAGCAAAATGACAAGACAAGCTGTTAGACAGTAAACAGTACAATTACAAAAACATACACTCAAAAAAGTAAAGAGAAATAACTTAAAATAACTGTAAGTGAAAGTCTGGAAACAACATTTTTCTTCTTGTCATTTTTCCACATGAATCCAGACATGTAAAATGTAAAAATCATACTGTCTATACTTGTGTAGAAACTCTGTACCCACCACATCCTCAGAGAAAAGCAGAATTGAGCAATATGAGATATTTGGATTTGTCTTCTCCAGAAAGCTGTGGACCATCACAGACAGGTTCTCCAGAGACGGTGCCTCCTGTCCTGGCTGCAGGCTGCAGGTGAGGCCCTGGCTGAGAAAGAATCCTGTGCAGGGCAGTTATACAGACGCTTTCTGCTCAGGAGAGCTTTCTGCAGCTTGCAGAAGGTAATTGTTTTTTTCTACCTTGTCAGGATGTGGAATCATTCATGTGTCCCATATGTATTATATATATCACCACTGTGCCGAAGAAAGTATCTCTATTTTTTTTTCCAGTTGTATTTTTCTACATCATTTGAGCACAAAAGCTGCTGTGAAAATTTCATGATGAATGGAACAACAGAAAAAAATCTATCTCTTTAAATTGACTTTTACATTAACAGTAAAGAACGTTTTTACCTTCTTGTAAAGTTACCATTTTGGAGATGCATGTTTTTTTGAACAGCGACATTCTGTAAGTACTATGTAAGTAAATCATAACTTTAATCAAAATGAAACATTGAGCTTTTACCAAAGCACTTTACCTTGTTGCCTTGTCCTAGTTTTCCTACATAGCCAAGACAAACACACACTTTACACTAGATGTTTGAACATAGCTGTGAGGATTTGACTGCATTTAGCCACAAAAGTGTTAGTAAGGTCAGGTAATGAGGGGAGGCCAAGAGGGGTACACAGCTCTACAGCTCAATGCTGGGGGGCTTTATACCCACAAGATACCCACATGGCATTGGGCATGGTGACCTTAGCCTCATGAGTTGCTACTCAAGAGCCTCCCATTCTATTGGCACTCATTAAAAGGGTGACCCAGATTCTTTTGAAAATATAGTACTGGTTTCCCAGACATGAATTAAGCCTAGTCTTGGACTAAATTACATTGCAAGTGGCGACCTATCATTGGAAATAAATCTTAGTCTAGACTTAGGCTTAGTCTGCATCTGGGAAGCTATGAGTGTTGAACGTCTAAGTCAGGAAACAACATTTTTCTTCTTGTCATTTTTCCACATTTTTCCAGACTTGTAAAAATCATACTGTCTATACTTGTGTAGAAACTCTACACAGGGATATATTATTGGATATATTATTATTACTTGTGTGTGTTTGTGTATATATATATATATATATATACACACATACATAAGTAATAATAATATATCCCACTCGTATTATATATACACATGTATATGTAATATGTTTCATATGTATCATATATGTGAGTATCTATCTGTAATAAGTCTAATCCTAAACCTAACCTTAATCCTAACCTCAGTCATCAAAAAGAAATGGTTTTGAAATAAACATGGAGCTTTTGTAAAGAGCACTGTAGGAGCAACAAAACTCTTTTTCTCTTATTTTTGTCCTGAAAATGTAAGAAACAATCACAAATACATACAGGCTCCATTCAATATGAATAGGAATTAGTTACTGTTCGTTAGCTCACCTCACCTCGTCCCTAAAGTAAGAAAGTAGAATTTGAAACTAGAATTTGAAACACTGTCTTGCATAATGTATCCCATCCTGGCTGCTGCTGATCGCTGATTAATCCCGCTGTGTGTTTCAGTCTAAGGACCTGCAGTGTGTCCTGGAGGCGCGGGCCAAGCACTTCTACAGGGCTCAGACGCTCAGGAAGGTTTTCGTGGCTTTACTGGATCACGCAACCCACCAGAGACTGCTGGCCTGGGACAGAGAACGGCAGGCGGAGGAGCACAATGCCAGGTCAGCATTGCAAGCTTCATCACAGCTACTGTCTCTGTCTCTGCTGTCGAGGATGGTGTCATATATTGTACAAGAAGCCAATTACTTTATCACTTGGGGTTAACACCCATAAACTAGCAGTAGTGCACAGCATGTAATAACTTCAGATATATTGCAGACAGAACTTGACCAACAATTCAAAAGTTTTCTTGGGGAGAAACATTTGATAAACTCCATCTGCTTCAGGATGGATTTTTATGGGTGGGCTGTTTTGAGATGTTTTTTTCTCGTGAACTTGTTAATGCCAGTCAAAAGATCATATCATTAATTAGAACGGAAAGCACAGATTCCTCAATTGATAGAAATGACGTATCAAAGGACAACAAGCTAAAAGCTGACATCTATTTTGTGCTAATAAAAGCTGTTTTCCATAGAATTTTGTTCAGTGACTGAGGTAAGAGTTTCTCTGATGCTCGCTTAGTTGAATTTATTAGCCCATAGCTCAGTGGCTAGGCTAGCAGTCAGGATTAGTTGACACCACAGGGATTCCCAATGGTTGCATGATGAATTCACATAATGCATGCTGGGTATTGTTGTGAAAGAACACTGAAGAACAAAGGAAATCTGTCAAACCAGTAATGCTGAGCTACAGAATACTACATAACATGACAAATAACATATTAAAATCTAGCTTTAGGCTGTAATGCCCCTTCACAACTATTTATTATTCTAAATATTTATTACCAATACTTATATTGCACTACCCTTCAAAAGTTTCAATTATATATAAAACCAATTTTGTTGCAGATACATATAAACTGATTCTGATGTGATGCTAACATTCGATAGGTTTCAACATATCGCTGCTGTTAAAACAAAACCTTGCATCTCCAAAATGACAACTTTACAGGAGAAGGAAAAAAGATACTCTACTTTTAATCTAAGTCAATGGAACCAGACTTTTATCCAAGTCATTTTGGGCCATTTATTTTGGTCCATTTATCCTGAAGTTTACACACAATGTTAAGGCCAACAGGCATTTCCAAGTTATGTCAGAAAAGAAAAATGACAAAAATGGAGGTACAAGGTTTTGTTCCGACAGCAGCGATATGTAGGAAGCTGTAAAATTGAGTTGTAGATTATTCCATAATTGTGAAAGCTGTATTGCCATAACTTAAAATTAATATCCAGACTGCCTCATATTTGAAACGTGTTGAGAATATCCCTGATCAAATAGCTATTCATTGTAACTTCATGACTAATTACTATGAATATATAATTACAGTTCATTATTTAATACCATTTGCTTTTTTTTTTTTAAATGATGTCATAACCTCTTGTTCTTATAACATTTCAACCCAAACCACACCTCAAACAGCAGCATCTTTGTTATATTGTTCTCCTTTAAATAAAGCTGTTAGTATTTTATGCTATGATAGTTCCACAAAGGAAATATGCTCATTTATCACCCTTTGAACTGCAGACTTTGTAATTATTCAGTACTTACTGTGAAACTAATATGTAATGTATGTAGTTATGCGAGTGAGCAAACAAGGGTTTAAAAAAAAGGTGGTTTTGAAAAGCTAGGTGTGCTTAAACTTTTGACAGGCAGCATAAGAGCTCATTGTATGCCATGTGTCCCACAGGCGGTCAGCGCGAAGGTGTTTCTCTGGCTGGAGGCGTCTGCCGGCGGCCCTGAGGGAGGAGCGAGAGAAAGAGGTGCGCAGAGAGCGGCTCCGGCGCAAAGTGGCCGAGATTCTCCCGGACTTCCGCACCTCGCCTGTGGATGGTGTTTGGAGCCCAGCGCCATCCCTTTAACCAGCTCTCTCTGCCTGAGGATCAGCATTTGGTAGCATTCAAAACACACAAGCCTTATGTGCGAGCCATGATTCAGTGAAACTTGCATCAAAAAGACATTTCATCTGTGCAGTTTAGCCGCTTTGGTGAAGTTAATCTCTTTTATTTATGCTTCTGTGAGTCACAATCAAATTGAGCAGCTTGTCACTGATGCATTAGGATACACAGATGGGAATAAACCCCTTCTAAGAAAACACTGCATGGTTGAGACACAAAATATGTAAGTTTTTTTAACACTTCTGTTTTTCTGGAGGCTTTGAATGGGATGAAGCCCCCTTTTGATTCACAGATGTGATGCTAATCATTGTGACCCAGTTTCCTAAGCATCGCAACTTGGCTAGCTGTTTGATAAATATCAAAGACTCGTCCCCATTTGAAGAACATAAAAAAAAACACAAAACAAACACACACACACACACAATGTCCTCTGACAACATCTGTCGCCTTCCTAACAGAACATTCAGCATGCTTCCATTAGAAGTTAAAAGCTGTCTGGTAATTCTGGACGTGGACACATTGTTGTGCGGTCACCCATTTTTCCATGTCCTTGCAAGGCACTAAATCAAGTTGGATCATAAAACTATGTGTGCACGACACTGATAAAACACTTTAAATTCTGGGGAGCAGAGAGAGCAGCATCAACACAGAGCAGCTCTGAAAATAAGGTGTCCAGGTTTGCATTACATCCACCGCATTATGGGTTCATGTTGTATTTTATATGGCTTATGACTCACAGATGATGGGACTGGTGACCAATTAGCTACATCATGGGCAGATCACCACCCATATCCTCTCCGCTTTTACTGATGATGCATTGTGATTTGGATATAGCCAGATGAAATATATAGCATAATGCTGCCATCTAGTGGGTAAAAAAAGACTTTCTGCCACAACTAATTGATTTATCAATACTTTTGCACCTTGGCCGCAATCATCAGGGCAATAAAACCGACCTTGGGACGGCAATTAATCAGTGCGCGAGTGACCCTTGAACAGGACAACTTTTCACCACCCCCCATAAGTCTCAGATTGGCTGGATTGCGAACTCTACACCAGGTCTGCTGGTTTGAGGGCAGTCGGCTCCAGTGTCTCGCCCATGGTCAGGAACTCTGTCCAGTTGCCACAGAAACCGCGGGAGTAGACGCCCGTCTCGATGACAAGGCCCCAGAAAAGACTGCGTCCTGTTTTATCCCTCAGAGCAATGCGAGCCTCTCGCTCCGTCACATTGTAGCTGACATTGATCAGCTGCAGAACCAGCAGGTGGAGCAGCCCTCCCGTGACAATACTGCTGTACCAGGCACAGGTGAAGCACAAAGCCGAGCTGGAGAAATATGCATTCTGGATGTTAGTTTTATAATAACTTCATTCTCTTAGACAGATTTCAGAATTTAATAAGTTATATAAAGTATGAAAAATGTTTGTCCTCCCATTGTTTGAAAGGGTTACTTTCTGACAGGCCAACTTTGGGCATCCCTCATCATCCACAGCTCTGTTCACCATTCAACATCTAAAAATTCCTAACAAATGTTTTGAGACATATGACATTATAATCATTTTATACAACTGCCACCAATTTGATTTTATATTATTAAACACAGCGATTCCAAACGTTTGAACGCTGGTGTTGCAGATGGTTTTATCAAGAGCAATTTACAGAAGTACTTTGTTGTCTTCTTGGTAAAGTCATCCTTCAGCTAATGCAAATTGGCTACAGTCTACATGCTTATAATCGGACCGAGACGTGGCTGTGTTACTTTAAATAGTTAGCAAACAAATTTACACGATTACCACCTCACACGAAATGCTAGGAAGCTTATACTTCACCAATTAGCTTTGTTCAAACTGCATGTCTAAATGAACAGGCTTGCCTCAAACAGTGTTGACTTGATTAGTTATCTCAAAACAGATTTGCATATGTGGTTTCTGAGACTGTATGACATACTGTTATCTATAAAAACACACAGCTAAAAACTGTAGCAGCAGCCAACGTGGAACCTGAATTTGTTTTTTCCCCCCACAGTTTCTCCTGAATTTAGTTGTGGGCAAATCCAACCCACTAGCTAGGTCTCCTCCTATCACACGATGCTAACAAGCTGGGAGGGTTAAAAGCGAGTAGTTGCTTCCTCTAAGCCACCATGTAAAGCACAACCACATCTTGCTAAACTACCACCAATGCAACGTCTCTGCACAGCTCAACACGCTTGGAGGAGAATGCTAACTACCAGTTCAGTTATGTTAGCTAATAGACATCAGTTCATGGACTATTCTAGAAAAAGAGGACAATTATGATCTGTGGGATTGCTGGCAATATGGCTAACGCTTAGACTGTTGCACTACTTGCAACCTCCAGAAGTCTAGATTCCGTCCATAATTGTTCATTTTCATAGATAACCGTATGATGATTAATAATAATGATTGGTGGAGTATACACTGATCAGCCATGACATTAAAACCACCTCCTTGCTTACCATATAGGTGCCCTTTTTAGTTCTACAATTAGAGTTAGACTCCACACACTGTCCACTCTATTAGACACACCTGCCTTGTTGGTCCACCTTGTAGATGTAAAGTCAGAGACACTAGCTCATCTGTTTCTGCACAGTTTGTATTGGTCTTCCTCTGATCCTTCATCAGTGGTCACAGGATGATGCTGGCTGGATATTTTTGGTTGGTGGACTATTCTCAGTCCAGCAGTGACACTGAGGTGTTTAAAAACTCCAGCAGCACTGCTGCGTCTGATCCACGCATACCAGCGCAACACGCACTAACACTCCAGCACCACATCAGTGTCACTGCAGTGCTGAGAATGATCCACTGCAAAGCTAAAGAAGGTCATTTCAAATACCAAACATGCTTTGGCTCGACTACACTGTAAAAAACTATTCCTTTAAGACATACAGATGTTACTAAGACTATGCAGCGCTTATGCTGTGTGCACATTTTTGCCTACGTTTCAAATCCAGGCCAGGTGGAGGACAGGATACACAATATCAAATCCCAGAGGAACTGTACTACACAGGCCTTTGATAAATTCCACCTAAACTTGCTGTGCTTCCACTAAATATTCACCCTTAACACTGAAGTGGGAGGTTTAGTAGTATGGTCTGAACCACACCTGTACTGGCTGTAGACGTCAGGGCAGTAGAACAGAGCGGTCAGTGCACTCTGTGTGGGACACACACTGCGTAGTACCAGGCTGATCCCATACAGGGACGTCGACAGGAAGAGCAGGAGCATCAGCAGGAAGCTGCGGTGATTGGCCTGTCCCACACAGCTGTTAATCCTATCAGAGCAGCGACCAATTAATTAGTCACAGATAAGAAAACAGCACCAGACTGAGCATTAAAGGAATGGTTCAAAAATGTTACATGTACACAATTTTCCCCTTACCCCAGAGGTAGTCGATCCACCAAGACATGTTTGGTGTCCAAATTCTACTTCTTTAGTTTTACGCTGTAAATAGTTACTCAAGAAAATGTATGGAAATACCTCCGTAAAACCTCTCTCAACCCAGTCAAACCACATCCAGGTCTTTATCATGTCATGCGAACTTGTCAATGTAGTGTGGAGGACAGTACAATTGACTTACTGTGAACAATAAAACTGAACAAAACTTTACAGAGTAGCTGAACACAGCTATTTTAGACCAAAGGTGTTGTACTGAATCCGGACTCCCCCCACAGAATATGACTCCACTCTGTATGTAGGCATATGGATGCTAGATGACATTTGAGATTTCAGTTGTTTCATTTTTTAAACATATGACTTCAGCTAGAAAATTCGAGATCAACAAGTTATTCCCAGTAGTAACAACCAAAATCTTGAACGTAATCCATAGCGGCCATATGCCTGAAGCCATGCACGTGATGGGGTTGGAATTCGACAAGAAGTCATAATGTATCCTAAACCGCAAAGTCTGCACAACCTTAGATGAAGACCTGGATGCAGTTTGCGTGGGTGGAGAGATGTTTTGTGGACCTATTTACAGAAAGGATTTGGGTGACTATTGATTTCTAGTGTTTGTTTGCAATAATAGACTTGGAGCTCTATTGCTAACTACAGAAGCAAAATCTGGAAACCAAACTTGGCTGATGGTCTACATCTGGGGTAAGTGGACAATTGTGTAAATTTGATTTTTCGCCAAACTATTCGTTTAGGATTTTGATTATTTTAGACTAACATTATAAGGTAATAATTAGAACATGGCCTACAGGAGAATAGCATTTTTAACTACTTGTGAAGCGTAACGATGATAAGTCTTAGTTTATCGATACTTCACCAATTGAAAAGAACTGTTTAGTGAAAAATCAAATGTACATAATTTTAACCATAGTTTCACCTTAGCTCTGAGGCTAATGTGGCTAACAAGTAACTGGAAGCTTATACACCACCAATTAGCACACATCAATGGTTGCAAGTATGTTGCATAGCTAAAAAAAAGCAACAGCCATCCTGCATTTTGTCCTGAATAAATAACAGTATAGTTACAGTTTCAGAAACCACATAAGCATGTCTATTTCAGAGTACTTAACATTTTGATTTAAGCATGAAATTTGCAAGATGCTTCTTATACTGGTGTACTTAAGCTTCCATTACTTGTTAACTATGTTAGCCTCATAGCTCCAGTATAAAATGAAAAAAAATGGACTGAATTTGGAGTAATGGGAAAATTGTATACATTCTTTTTCTGCTGAACTATTCTTTTAAATAGATCTATTGACACCTGTTTTATATAGCTAATATGAAAATGTAATGTAAATATCTGTATATAACTTTCATTCTGATGCATCCGTAGACAACAGCTACAATATTCCAGAATTAGATGCATTTGTTTCTCTACAAAAAGCCAACAGGGAACCAACTCCATTAGCAAATGAGCCAGCCAATCGAACTCATGACTGATTCTTGTCTTCAGGCTTTTTTACACATCGCTAACTCGGTGCATTTAACAGGGATGCAGTCTACTTTGTCTGCTACTTTCAATTTCCACTACAGAGCTCAGTTCTCCAAAAACATCTTTTGTTGCACCTGAAAACTGTTCTTAGAGAATCTGAGCCTCCCTCTTTAGTTGACTAAATGCCTCCAACCTCAGATACAGTGTTTAACTGAACATAACACAGGGTAATCTCCATAAATGAAACTATCCTCAGAAATGAGTGATCCTGATGATCCTGGAAGGGCCCGACCGATATGAAAATGTTGTAACTGATGAACTGATTTTAAGAAGCTAAAACTTCTGATAAATGGTAGCAGCCGCTTTTATTTTATATGATCAAAAATTAGATAGACTCCTTTTGTTTTATTGTAACAGTGCTTTACTGACTAATATGGTTGTCAATTTATCAAATTTCTTAAACAGGATAAACACAAAGTATATAAATAGTAATATAAATATATGCAAGCCATTTATTAATAACTTTATAAATTAATCCTAAAACAGGCAAAAACTCTCACAATGCTGAATTCTTAAACAAGTACAAGTGTTAAGTACACTGTTCTGCTTGGAAAAAGCAACTCACAAATGAACTGTTTACACACACAACGAAAAAAATCACTTTGTATCCTAGATGTGCAATAATACAGTATTTCCATTCAAAGACATTTTCAGTGCTTTATTAATGGGACTTCCATTGAACAGACCACACTGACAAATTAACCTTCTGATTTTTTTTAGCAGTTAAACAATATATCGGTCGGGCCCTACTTGACCTTGAGATGGGTGCACAGGGAGGTGAGATACCTGTGCAAACATAATAAATTCCAGAGACCCACTGAGAAAAAAACAGATGTTCAAAGGAACTAGTGATGCACCAATCTGATACAACAGATCAATATCAGCCCTGATATTGATCTTATTCAAAAGGACTATATATCGGTGAGATGTCCAAAACGAACGGTTTCTTATGGAGCTTTAGTGCAAAATTGCAGTTTGTAAATGTAAAAACGTGCTTGTTTTCTTAACATAGAACAACCTAAAATATTTCAGTACTACTGTCATATTTTTAGCACATTTAAAGTCTTATCCATTCTGCTTAAACTTGTAGGACTTCCTAACAGTGTCTGTACATTCATGACATCAGTTAGTGCAAACTGCCTCACTCACGAATGAGATGAGCAACTCAACAGCTAATCTGGACTCAGCAGTAATACCAACCAGTCAGCATTCAGTAGCAGTAAAGCCAACCAATCAGTACTCAAGAGCAGCAACGCAAACCAATCAGCATTTAGTAGCAGCTTACTGCAGAATAACGGAAATATGCTGGCAAGTTTACTTGAATTTTTTTAATGGAATACTTCTTTCTACTTTCCAAATTAAACAAAGTTCCTGCATAAATTAAACATGTATGATTTTTCATTGTTAGTCGTTGTTGCTTTTAGGAAAGTCTGTCCACTCTACGGCCATCTTGGCAACACCTCCAGGCAGTTATTTCCGATCATACAAGACATCATTTTAATGGAGAGAGATCTATAAAACCAAAACTCGTTTTATTAAAGGGCGGAACTTTCTTCAGAAACAGATGCCACCATGTTACGAGCTTTCCTGTTCATGTTTCACCCAGTGACCTCTCTCCTCCATTCACCCACATTCATCAATGACACTTGTGGGTGCCCTCTAGCATTTCACAGTCACATTTTTGATATAATAAGATAATATAAGCCAGGCTCCTCTTAAACTGGCTCTGGTAGCTCCCAACTAACAAGAGAAACAGCGTGAGCTCAAATACATAAAAAATACTGCCCCCTAAAGGTGTTATAGCACCAAGTCAGAAGTTAGAACTTTATATAAATGCGTTATGAAAACAAAACTAACTCGCATTCTGTGTGCTGCAACATAAATATATGATTGTGAAAGCTAACAACTGTGGAAAAAAGTGCGCTCAGCTTCATCATTGCAGTCGGCTCAAATAATTGCAATCTCCATAATAACTGTGACAGGCCTACTTATACGCTGACTTCAGATATTGGAATCGATATCAGGAGAGAAAAGGCTAGATTGGAGCAACCCTAAATGGAACCCACCAGACACAGTGGTGGTCCAGCCGTAGAATGCAGGCCCCGCAGATCCTGCAGTGTCCCGCTCTCGGAGGTTTCACCATCCTGCAGAACGAACACCAGTTCTTCCTTCCGCCATCCTTTTGCAGTGCACTGCCTGGATCTGCTTCAGATTCAGCACTCTGCTCTGGAGAACTTACGCGATTGGCTATCACCACCTGGTGTCGTGACCCGTTGTGGTAGGTGGAGTCAATGTCTGGTGGAGGGCTGTGATAGGTCACTGTGCTGTGAGTTTCAGAGGGGCGGGGCCTGACATAGCCTGGCCCTCGCTTGGTATACATCAGGGTGATGAGTGTAAGGACCACACCTATAGTCACAACACCCAGCTGTAGATTACTGACATCGCCTCGTGGAACAACCTCAGAGACAAAGAGGTAGTACATGTAGAACAGCGAAAAGAGTGCCAGGCTGAGGAAGAACAGAGTGCGTCCTTTCTTGCGGTGGGTGAAATAGTAATACCACAGCACCATGCCGGGTAGCGCTATTAGAACTACGATACCCAGCAGGTAATGCAGAGCGGCGATGTGCAAGAAGACAGGAAGTAGGATAAGAGGCGGGATCAAAGATAGGTCAACTCGCTTAGCCCCTGAAATCCAGGGCACTCGCAGACGATCGGTCACTGTGGCCACCACTCGAGACAGAGAGTCTGGATTTTGAGGCTCTCTCTTCATCCACCTACGAAAGACAAGAGAGTGAGCTTAAAACATGAGCAAATTATCTGCTTACTGTGCGTAAAGTTTAGGAAGCTTCTAATCTGAAATTAAATATTTGAAATCCTGAGGCCTTGCAGTATGAGCTGTATGCGCTGCTGTAGGTCACTGGTGGCCCAGATTGACAGAGAATGAACTTGTTATAAAAATGAGTTATTCCTTAGCTTCAAAACTCTCGCCAGACTAGTCTCCATTACATATTATACACTGTGTTGAAAACTAATCTTGTCACCTAATCACTATTTCTGTAGAAGCACTACAGAATACTGTGCTATATATACTATTAAAGGGAATTTATGATTAAAGTAAACAATTTCATACAATCACAACACGGGTACAACTTTGCTATGCCTCATCCTACTCTTTTCAATGGTGATCTCTGCTGGATCCTCACAGTGCATAACGGGTGCAGTGAAAAAGTTCGATAGGTTTCCAGTCAACACACTGACCAGAGTAGACTTTCTTCATCAAAAACCTCAAAATATTTTTTTTTTGCACATTTTATGCTGAATTTTTCCCAGTATGTTAAATTCCACAAATAAACAGTAACTGTGCATTAAAATGTGCAGAAGTGTGTCCTCTGTAGAGGGTTTGAAGTTATTTCCACTTGGAAAATCAACAAAATATTTCATTTGACTAAGAGCGCTCAAACTGTTGCATATGACTGCATCTGGTTTTATACATGCCTGTTTGACAGTGACAAACCATTTGATTGTACACAGTTTACATCACTGGAGCAGGAAGGCAGAATTTAATCACATTGAGCTTGTTGGCTACTTCCAAAGATAGCTAGTTTACTATTGAGAGTGAGCTAAAAGCAGGACGACTGATCCACATTATGAAAATTATAAAAGCATAACATCATCAGTCTGCATTGTATTAGGCTTTGGTGTAACATTAAACAAAAATAAGAAACACTGTTTGCTGTATCAGATTGTCAAGGGTATTAACAGAGAGTTTGTATCCTCTTTGCTGCACTAACAGCCTCTACTGTACAGGGAAGGCTTTACACTAGATGTTAGAACACTGCTGTGAGGATTTGATTGCATTCAGCCACAAGAGCATTAGTGATGTCAGGTATTGATGTTGAAAGATTAGTTCTGGATCATAAGCTCCTTTCCAACAGTTTTATATCCTTCTAGTTGATGCTTGGACATGGTGACCTTAGGCTGTGCGGCTGCTCCAGAGCACCCCATTCTATTGGTCAATGCATTTCTATGGAGATTTTGCAAGCTGGGTGTTCACAGTTGAATGCCTGTCAGTAATGAGTGAACCTTAAAGGTGCATTGTGTAAAATGTTTTTGTTAAAATCGAAAGCAGTGGTGGGGCGGCACGGTGGTGCAGTGGGTAGCGCTGCTGGCTCACAGCAAGAAGGGCCTGAGTTCAGTTCCCCAGCCGGACGGCCAAGGTCCTTTCTGTGTGGAGTTTGCATGTTCTCCCTGTGTTTCCTCCCGATGCTCCAGTTTCCTCCCAGAGTCCAAAGATATGCAGTCAGGCCAATTGGACACGTGTGTCTGCCCTGCAATGGACTGGTGACCTGTCCAGGATGTTTCCCGCCTTCCACTCAGTGACCGTTGGGATAGGCTCCAGCACCCCCCACGACCCAGAAGGATAAGAGGTTTAGAAAATGTGTGTGTGTGAAAGCAGTGGTGTTACTGAGTCTAAATAAAAAAAAACACGCTAAAATATGGTGTCTATGCACAGCTGCGAGTCAACCTGACATAATATTTTGAAACTCAGAGGTGTCAGGTTGGATTTCACAAGAGTTTTTTGAACACCTTCATATGTCTTTAGGTATTAACATCACACACACAGACTTAAACAGAAGGTCTGGCTCTTTTCAGGTGCCAAAGGCAAAACCAACATTATACTGATGAAGATATGATGACAATAGTAGATAATTCCCTTAGATCTTCAGAGGACATCATTCAGGAAGTTTTGAGTTCTCTTTTAATACTCCTTCAACACGCTCTCAATCATCAGATTCATCCAATCAGGGAAGAGGCCTGAAGCACAACCAATGTTACGAAATGTTCTTCCCTACATCTGAGAGGTCTCTAAATTACATAGTGTAACTTTAAAGTATCTGAACTCACTAATTAAAAGGGGTGGCTGGATACTTTTGGACATATACATTTCCTCCGTCCTATTTTAAAGTGTGCATGCTTGCACACATAAATCTGTAGTAAATGCATCCCTAAAACACAAAACCCCTAATTAAATCGTGGCCCTTCCTCAAACAAAGCTCCACCCTCACCTGTCACAGGCTTCGTCTAGATCCTCGCAGTCGCAGCAGCACGCTGCCACATGGCTCCTCCCACCGTGACGGTTCACATACTCACAGCAACACAGCGGATCGCCCTGCTCCAGCGCTTTTTTGGCTCTCTTCTTCATGATGGCCGTGAGCTCATCCAATCATCGCAAGCTCAGAAGGACAACATGCACCTGCAGGGATACAAGACAGCGGACGTGAACTGAAGCGGGCAGACCACTTACATTCTTCAGCCTCATCAATTATACACCCGTCACTCTACTACCACAATTGACTTCATGGCTCAAATTTCAGACCAGAGTCCTTCATTGAGTCCTAAATAATGTAGCCCAAGTGTCGCATTGGCAGGACCTAGATAGCAGTCAGAGAACCTGACTGTAAACCAGGAGCCAAAAATAAGCCCTGCTGATAACGTCCAGCTACTGCCACTGCTCACCCCGTGAACATTCAAAGGAACCATAATCCCAGCAAGTGGAACAAATGCATCGCCTAATATTATGAAGAATGGCGTTCTCTTGAAAACCTCCACCAAAAGTCACTGAAAACAGTCCATCCTGATGCATTTTCAGTACAACCCCAGCTGAATGACATTTAAAGGTCCCTCTTATCCTGAAGCCAGGACACTGAACGTTAAGGGCGGGGCAATAGCCCGGAGGGTGGAACAATCGTCTTTCTTTGTGTTCCCTTATTGGCCAGTACCACATCACTTACAGGACATGCTTCACCTCAGTCAAGGTCAAGAGCCCCCGGGGGATCCACTAACTGGAGTCATTCAGTGTGAACCCCCATTGCAGCAGTGGGGCTACCCTAGCAGTAAATGCCACAAACAAAAAGGATGATGACTCTCTGAACTGCTGCACCTCATTGGTTCAAGAAAGTCTTAAAGGAGAATTCCATCCATTTTTCAAAATTTCTGCATAAGATGCAAAACAAGTCATTCAGAGTGGGTTGATGCAAAATGTTCCACTGTAGAGAAATTTACCAAATCAGAGTTATTCACAGTGGTGGTAGGTGCTGGTAGGAACCAGGTGTCCAAAGAGTTTAAAGTCTCTAAAAGCCATCTCACAGTAAGTTATTATTACACTATATTACAAACAAGCTTTAAACTTTGTTTAGAGATTGTTTTAAGGTCAGATTTTGTCCTAAAATGCATTTTTAAGATCCATTTGTGGGTGCATACAGGGTTGTCTGGCAAAAATACTCCCTAAAGAAAACTATTTTTTTCATATTTATCACTATTTTACAATCATCATCATTACATACAAAAAAAAACAAAAACAGAAAGCACGTGTAGGTTCCCTTGTTATTTTGGACAGAAGAAAAATGGCTATATTTGCGTTGTGGACATTGCGACTCCTGGTTCCTATCACCACCACTTTAACGAAATCAGTCTTTTTAAATACGATTTCACATCAAGCCTCTCAGAATTTACATCTCAACGACTGAACTGTTCAAAAATTTCGAAAAACCGGTGGAATTCCCCTTTCAACCAGTGGAGTTCGTATAGTTAATGCAGCCAGCCTGTGCGTTTCGAAAATTCAGAGCAAAAAAGGTCATTGGGAACATACTTTCATTTTAGCCTGGTTCTTTTTTAACTAACCCAGGCTGTGGGCTGGATGTCAGCTCCCTGGACCGTTACGGAGACATAATTACTGAATTATCTGCGGTTATTTTAGACAGACTTGCTCCGTGCTGAAAGGGTGGGACGTCGCCCGCACGTCTCAGTCCGGAAAGTTGGTGATGTTTTGAAAAGCTGGCTGCATTTACTCAACTTGGCTGATGTCTGGGCACCATTTTAAGCCACGTCCTCTTTAAAGGAAATTACATTTGAATACTATTGCAGTCAAAAACACTGCGAACCGCAGAACAACACGACATTTTTCAAGCTTCGTCTACCTGTTTGCCGTTGACTGCGAACCATTTCGTCCGGAAACCGTTCAGCCTCCAGCCCGGAACCTTCCAGCTTTTTCGCTGAGAGGCTGAACTCACTCAACCCCGCGGAGCTCCGCCGGCAGGGAAGCCGCTCTACGGCGCGCTCGGACTCGCTGAGGATCAGCAGAAACCCCGCTGGTGCCGACCGGTGTCTCTCTGAAAGCCCCTCGTACCGGACGCATGGCCGGGCGGCTGGGTCTCCTGCCAGCTCTGTGTTGCTGCTACTGCTAAGAGTGGCGGGGTTGCCAGATTCCGCTGTCCAAATCCGCATTCGCATTTGCGCATCACAAACACTGCTGTCCTGAAAACATTTTTTTATTTATATTATATTATTTAATAGATAATGTTAACACTATCTAGAGCTCTCTTTGTATTATTTTAATTGTCAAATTAAATCATAGAAAATGAAGACGACGGAAATATATATTGCTCATATTAAAAATATGTACAGTGTATGTAATGTTTTAAAATATATGTACTAAATATTTGCACATATAGGTCAATATTTTGAAATATATACACATATGTAGATGCAGTATATGTCATAGGGTTAATTTTTAAAATGTACATATTGTAGACACCGACCGACCACTTCCACTACACTTCCTTGTTTCTACACTCACTGTCCATTTTATCAGCTCCACTGACCGTATAGGTGCACTTCGTAGTTCTACAGTTACAGACTGTAGTCCATCTGTTTCTCTGCATACTTTGTTAGCCCCCTTCCACCTTCTTCTTATCAAACATATATGCAAAATGGAAATATATATATATATATATATATGTATGTGGTGGTGTGTTAGTGTGTGTTGCGCTGGTACAAGTGGATCAGACACAGCAGTACTGCTGGATTTTTAAACACTGTGTCCACTCACTGTCCACTCTGTTAGACACACCTACTATGTAAGTCCACCTTGTAGATGTAGTGTTAGATATGATGGCTCACAGTCATCCTCTAGTCCTTCAACAGTGGTCAGTTTCTGGCCACAGCACACTGTGGAATGGATATTTTTGGTTGGTGGCCTGTTCTCAGTCCAGTAGTGACACTGAGCTGTTTGAAAACTCCACTGATGTGTGTGATCCACTCTGTGCAGCATTAGACTGACAGGAACACTGATAACTACCCTTAACTACCAACAATTAATTAAATCTCCATTCATTTTTTATAATTATTTGTCTTTGGACCCGTTTCCCAGACCCCAATTAAGACTATACATAGAGATTATTAATGATGAAATATCTCTTACATTGCAGCTTAGTTCAGGACTAGGCTTAATCCATGTCAACAAAACAGGCCCTAAGTAACTGATTGTAGCCTCAAGGTCTGTTTTCCCTTGACAGTTTTATGAGGTAAATTTAAAATCTCCTAATGAGGATTTCCTCTCAATATGGCAACACTGACAAGGAACCTGCCTATCCAGTCTTTTGACGTCAACACAGACCAGGGCTTTCGTTTCCAGAGGTGAAGTTTTACTGCAGCTTCACAACATTGAAGACTACAATAGGACGCAGACACACACACACACACACACCTCTGTTTTATGAAGTGCAACATTCAGAGGTTTTCAGTAACACCCTGTGTACAAGACTTCCTTGTTGCCACAGTTGGTAAACTTATTCTGCAGGGCTGTTTTGGCAATTCACATTAGGCAACAAGGAAGATGGTTCCTGTTCTGCTACACTGTCTTTGAGAACCACCCATAAAACATTATGTAGCAAAGCCACCACAGCTACAGCAGGGTTATTTATTTTTCTAAATGAACAAACATCTGTTTATTTTAGCTGCATACAGTATAACACAAAACAATATAAATAGTTTCACAAAAACATTATGATGGATGGGGCTTTTATTCAAGTTATAAATAGACACATTTCAGCAAAAATACCCATATGGGAGGAAAAAAAGAGAGTAAGAAAAAAAACAATTTCCTGAGAAAGTTTATAAAAGGCAGGGGTCACCCCTTTGAGATCTGCTTCAAAATTAAAATGACCACTCTACATACGCTATTACATCAGTGTGCTCAAAGTGTGGTCCCTATGAGCTACTCTACAGTCGCAAATTATGTAGTGTAAACACACACTATATTATATATATATATATTTACGAACTACAGTCTTGCAGGCTCACTTCAATATTAATATATTAACCAATATCTTTACTGTACATTTAGAAAGCCCTTTAGAGGAACATAAAATATGTCAAAAGCTTTAAAACATTGCAGTTGAGGTACCTTTGCATAAACTAAAAATAACATACAGCCAGGCAGAATTTGCATTCATTCACTAGCAGTCCTGCCCTGGTCAAGGATTCAAAGGTGCAATCATTAACATGTCTGGAAACATCTGAAGTTGCTTTTCAGCCATTGGCAGATTTACCAACATGGTAAAGGAAATTTTTCAAGCACTTTGTCATGCCCTGGTTAGCAGTGTTATAACGGAGTATTTCTACAGTAATTATTGCTTCTTACTCACATAGAGACACGGCCAGAGGCTTGAGTAGAGCGTTTGTGGTGTCTTAAACATGATAAATGCTTTACAATAGCTGTGCAAATCAACAGGCCAAAACCGGAGAAGGTAAACAACTTTAAGAAGCAGTTGTAATCAAAAAAGGAAATAAAGGCAACAGCGGTGAACTTAAGTATAGCTTTAAAGGAGAATTCCATTGATTTTGGGTTAATGTTGAGAGATAAACAAGGTTATTACAAGTGGTTTAATGTGAAATGCTTCATTCTAAAAAAAACTTGGTCAGAATTGTTCACAGTAATGGTGATAGGAACCAGATGTCTGAAGAGTTTAATGCTACCTCACAAAGTTATTACATGAAATGGTTATGAATACACTGCCTGATCTGTTTTACAAATGTTTTGTGATAAGGTTTTAGCCTATTTTTTTTAATTTTTTTAATCCTTACCCTCCAGGATGTTAAAAGGCAAAATAGTCACCATACAACACATTTTTCAGATTTACCACTATTTTACCATAATCAACATCACAGAAAAACTCAGAAGGCATGTGTACCTTCACCAGTGACTTTGGTGAATAGAATGGCTGTGTTCTAGACATTGTGACCCTTGGTTCCTATCACCACCACTGTAAAGAAACTGTCTGTAACTTTATCTTTAATTGAACTTTTTACATCAAATCACTCTGAATGACTTTGTTTACATTTCACAGATAAAATTATGCAGAAATTTTGAAAAAATTGGTGGAATTCCTCTTTAACAAACGAGCTGTTGCCTCGCAGGGGCAACGGGCCTGCATTGCTCCCTGTGCCCATCGCCACGCTGTATGCTCTCGCATGAAGCTTAAAATCATTCAGCCACCTGTAACCACAACACAGAAGACCTGGAGTGGTAAAACCCAAAGGCAGAGAGAAGTCTCTGGAGTAACCGTCTCTATGGCAACACTCCTCTACGTGGGCAAACCCTGTGGGCCGGATCCCCCTGTTCTCCAGTGGTCACCAGGCACAGTGGCTTTCATAACTGGTTGTAGGTCTTGTTGTGGCTTTGGAAGTTCTGCTGGAGCACCACCAGAGAGCTGCGTAACTGTGGAGAGAAACAGGAGCCATTACGACCGGCACAAACAAACAGCCAGCACACCAGAGACCTTTCGGCAAAATAAGAGACATCAGAGGAGAGATGTTTTACACTAGCACACGGGGGCACACAGAATCGCCCCTTCTGAGATGGAGAGTATAGCAGCAATAGATGCTGCATTATGTTAGAATTAGAATCAGTTGTTATGATTGGTTAAGCAAGATATTAGCAAACTAAGCTCAATAATATATTGTATATACCTTTTTTCTATTTGAGATTCATTCATTGAGTCATTTTGGACAGTTTCTATTGACAAGCTTACATAATTTAGAGAGCAGATGGTGTTTTCAGTGTTAAAGGGGAATTTCATCAGTTTCTTTATGATTTCTGCATATTTTAAATCATTAAGATGTAGACAAAGACTGTCACAGTTTGAGGTGAAATGCACCATTCTAGAGAAACTGGTGGTGATAGCAACCAGACGTCTAAAGAGTTTAATGCCTCTTCAAGGTTCCCCACAGAAAGTTATTACATGAGTAAATACGTTGCCTGATGTCTGAAACATTGTTTTGTAAGTAGTTTTGCAATAAGGTTTTGGCTTAAAAATATATTTTTTAAATCCATACATGGCAGAGAGGTGTTGTAGTTTATTTTATTATTATCAACATTACATATAAAAACTGAGAAGACACCTGTAGGTTTACTCCTCACTTAGGATAGTAAACAAACTGACTGTATTTTTGTTCTAGACATTGTGACCCCTGGTTCCCATCACCACCACTGGGAAAAAAATAAAACAATGTTTGTAGGTTTCTCTACAATTAAGCATTGCACATCAAACCAATCTGAATGACTAATCTCAATTATTGAATGATGTCAAAATTTGGGAAAAAAGGACAGATTTAACAACACATACAGAATATTTTAATAGACTGTTTTTATGGTCTAGTGAAAACAGAATCAGGTGTATCTGAAGTTGCACTGCTGCTTGTATTCTCTTCCAGGTGAAATGTGGTAGAGCTACACTAACACACCTGTTCTAGCAGGTTAATGGAGTCCTGTAGCACCGCCCTCAGTAAGCGCGTCTCCTCTTGGCTCCTGTGAAACACAGGCTGTCTGGGGCCTAGGTCAGGTGCCAAACTGTGGAACAAAAGCACTTAGGTTTTACCTCTTTTAAGATTTTAAACATTTTGAAAGGTTTGTAATGCTACATCAAGTTAGGAGGCGTCATTACATTGTGCATCATTATAACAGTTTAGGCAGCTTATCAATAAACCTTTTATCAAAAGGCATCTAACTAGCATCTACACTGTAGATTGGAGACGTAGGATTGTATACAGTCACTGTCAGAACAAAATCTTGTATCTGCTTTACACAGTGTTTAAATTTTATGATAAAGAGACTAATAGAAATGGTCCAAAATGATGTAGAATAAATTATTTTTTAGACTGACTTACATTGAAAGCCAAGACAGTTTTTTCTCTCTCTTGTTACTTTTGAAAAGTTACTTTTTGGGTAAGGTTTTGTTCTGACAGTGACAATACATAGTACTTAATTCAAAACATGTTCTCTATTTTCCAAAAGCAATGACACATTTATGTAAAATCTTACAGAGCAAAAAAGGTTAAAAATCACATGCAGTAAATTCTTAATGTAACAAGCCAATAAAAGAATTTCTGAACATTCCAGCATGCATACACTATAATTCCATGAAATCAACAGCAGTCCTTACTTTGCCTCGGCTCTCTCCCTCACACGCTGCTTTGTGGTGAGGTACATGCGATGGGCCACGTCCTCCATGGCCCACAGCTTAAAAAAGAGCCCAAGGTTCAGCACCGTCAAAATCAAAAGACTGAAAAAAAAACATACATGAAAGCATATCATGACTTTTGTAAGTTTACACTAAAGTACATCAGCTTTCTAGATCTTCACTGGGCCTGTTCAGCCAGTCCACAGCACTGCTAAGTGGGTGCAACAATTAGGTAGGACAAAAAGCTATACTGGGTAGTTCTATACTCTTATTGACTCTTTGTAAAAAGTCCTTTATTGTTCTTCCAGCATGGCAGCCCAAGATTTAGCATTTTTCACTCTTTTTTAAGGTTCTGAATGTGCAAGAAACTTTTTAACCAGCTCTACTACAAACGCTAATCATTCAAGATGCTATGCAGAAAATACACCTCATGGTCATGCCTTTGACTTACATGACGCTCATTCCAGCTATAATGGAGGTGATGTTCCACTTCTGTGTGTTCTTCATGTCCACTACACCTGAAACATGAAACCAAGTCACTATTAGTTATGGAGTCTATGTATACAAACAGAAAAACTGACTGCATTGAGAAATGTTTGCTTGGGGTATATTACTTGGGGCACACACACACACTGAGAGCACAATGTGTACAGCTGAACACAACAGGAAACTGCTAGTGGTTTCAGTGTTTAGGTTGCACAGTTTGACATTTACATTCACACCTGGTCATTTCACACGTCTTGAGCATCAGTTTCTAGTTGTTATTCACTGTTTTGCTACAATGCATTACATTTTAACGCATGTGTTTGATGAGGCTAATCATTCTAAACAGCTGTCTTCTTGTAAACATCACTGTAAAGTGTTAAGGAAAAATGAGGGACAACACTGTATGAGCTGATTTGCATATTACCACTCAAATTTAAATCTGAATGACCGAAGATGCCTTTGACTGCCTAGTGTAAATGCATGTGGCTAAAAGCTTATCAGGTTACAATCCAGATGCAAGTCACATGAAATGAGCAGATTTAAATGGGGTCAAAGTGTATAGAGCTCGTACCCATGCTGCTATCTCTGTGCTGCTCTGTGTCTGCACCATACTGCTTGCCAGGCCGCATATGCTCCTGCAGGGTGCGACTGTAGGTCCTCCGCCTTCTACGCAAGCCGCCCTTTCCAGTATCGCCCGAACCTTGGGTCAACTCCACTTCCTCCTCAAGCAGCTCCGCCTCTGAATTAGAAAGAGAATCAGATGTAAAAGTTCAATGTATTGTTTTGCGTTCTAACATGAGTATCACTAACTTGAGGCTGACATATTAGCCTGTGGTTAGTACAGGATAGGATTAAAGAAGCGAGAGCTGCCTTATAAAAATGCTTGTGGGAATCTGTCCAGGTTTTGGTAAGAGGGAAGGGGGACTTATACCCCCTTTATGCAGACAACAGAAACCATACAGTCCCATTCACACCTGGGGGAAATTCTGGCCAAACTTGAGCCTAAATATGCATTTTCTGATTAACATTGTAAATGAGGGTCACCCTCAAATGTTCTCCGAGATTAAATAAAGGCTGATTGATTGATTGATTGATTGATTGATTGAGCTGTAATTAAGAGAAAATTTAACTTAGCTGGGGTCTGTTTAGCTGGCTGCTGGGACTGCACAAGCTGCTGTTGTTGCCCAGGGTGATGGGGGGAGGGGGCGAAGTAGATGACGCAAGGTGGCACACTCATATATGCAGACAGGAACTGTTACATTTTTTAGGCATGCGGTTCTTTTGTTTGTCCTATATGTGGCATACAACCTTTTGCACAGGGCTTATCTTCTGCTTAGAAACCAGTCTGACTTGACCAGGCAAAACTTCATTGTGTCATTCTAAAGTCTCAAATACTGAACGCTCTAGTACAGTTAACAAAAATAACAATTTGAGACACTCCTTTTATTCCTCCATCAAAAAAACGTGCTGGACTGAGACACCACCATGTCATATTGAACCAAATTATGAATTATAAAAATCATTACATCCCTAAAATTTTTATTATTTATGCAGTAATACAGAAAACAAAGTGCTAATGAAGTATTGCCAATTTCTTATGGGACAGCCTGGTATATAAACAGTGCATTATTACGATTTCACCACAGTGAAAAATAATTCTATAAAATGGTCTTCTATGTGAATAAGCTAAGAAGTGATGCTTAGTGATAAGATACAAAGTGATGATGATTGATCTTATTTTAAAGAAGTGACTCCTTCGCTTGAAGAAACAGTGAGAGAGACAATACTGGGAGATACTGGTACTCATGGAAAGCCTCCTGGCCAGTTACATTGCAAGGTCTGAACTAACTGTGGTATAATGTCCATTACATTTATATTCAATTAAGTTGGTCCTTTGGAACTGTGTGTCCATAGCAAAAAGTGTGCATTTTAGCTTTGCCAAAGAGCACATAAGGACCATTTCAAGGTAAGGGCACTGATCTCAGTAGTAGTTTGTCCACGCAGTTCTGAGTTAACAGCATTATTGTCAGAAAAGGGACATGACTGCTGAGGGCTTCCTTTCCTTGTCTCTCAGTCAGCCAAAACTGAACCAGCACATTCTACTCATGGTCATTTAGAGGCACTTTGATCTGATCAATTCTCTTAATTACTCTCTTTAACCCCTGCTCTGTATCCGCAGCAGAAAAACCTATTGGCCAGCCCTCTGCCTCGGCCAGTCAGAAAAAACACCAAGCTTGGTCTGTGCTTGTGGTCACTGGGCCAAACCCACAATGACTGTGGGTGTTTGTCAGCTCTGAGCATGCATAGGGAAAATCACGATATAACTGAAGATATAACTGACTAAAATGATCATGGCTGCAGTGCTGCATAAATATTGAAAATGTTTAAAGGGGCCCTCTGGTCAAAAATTAAAAATGTACCCATCACTACAGCTGCTGTAAACACACTGACTTGCACCCTACAGTGGTGCCACAATTGTCTAAACAGTGAGATGTTCTGGTTTATAGACCAGAAAAACACTCTTCTAATGATGCATCTTGAAGGTGGAGGGAACTTTTGATAAACTACAAGCGCTTTGTGGCTTACACATGAGGACAGGCTGTTTGAAATGTTTTGTTTCTGCTAGCTGGCTAATGCAGAAGGATGGCAGTTAGCTAACAATACTGCTAGGAAGTCAAATGTCTAGTCTGAATTTCTTAGACTCTACAACAGTGGAGGATTCCCAGTGGTTCTTTGATACAGTGCTGTGCTACAAAGTGTTATGTAACACTACAAACAACATTAATTACTAGCCTTAGGGTGGATTTCCCCTTTTAAGAAGTACTAATACATATTGTCAAGTCATTTCACCACAAGTATAATCTTCACAGTCCTTTTTTCAAATCACACCTCTCACATTTCTTTGTTGTTTTCTACCACCATGACTTTTTAAAAAAATTACAATTTAATTGTACATTGTTGGGTGAATTATTGAAATTTGAAAAGATCTATAATATAATTAAAATTGATAGCTGTCCCATCCCTATTCAGCTCTGCTGGACATATTAAATTATATGTAACAGCCTCAAGCATTAAAGACATCTGCACTGCCCAGAGAGCAGGACAGGGATGTGGATTTGCAGACCAGCAGACTGTGCACTAATGCAGGCCATGCTATAAGAGGAAAGACATCAGCAATAATTTATATTAACACAGAGAGAAGACGTATCACTCTGGGGACTAGGTCAAGGAGATGGAGGGACCAGAACTAGGAAGAATATATCCAAGCAGAGAAAATACTAAAAAAACTGATACTCACCAAGGTGTCTGAAATAATCCTCCAGGCCACTCCACGAGTTCTTGGTGATGAAAGACTTAACAAAGCCCCATGGCTGCTTCTTGTACTTCACATCTGTGTAAATCCTGTGGGAAAAAAACTCATTTTTTACCTATTCTCCTTTGGCTTTCACCTTCTTTATGCAGGTGTATTTTCTAATATCAGAAATATTTCCTAAAAATAAATAACTTGTACTTAATGGCTCTTTTGGCTGAAAATAAAATATAAGAAGGGTGGCCTCTGAGTTTTGCACAGTACAGTATTTTGTATATGATTCAGAAAAGAAGGAGCCATTGGCCATTCATGCAGTTGACATCACATTCTGTTTAACAGGACTTGCATGGCAAATATGAACGCATGTAAAATGCCATTTAAGGGCTATAAATTGGAATGACACAAAGCCTGAAAAATTGGTGGTGCCTTATAAAAACAGATATATCCGTGGCACCTTAATATCAGCCGATTCTATTGTTCATGCGATAAATCAGTTCAGCCAAGTGCATAACAGGGAATACTGAGAAACAAAACCATACTTACCTAAGCCTACACTTGCGCTTGGAGCTGCGGATAATGCAGTAGCGATTCAGAGTGTAAAAGTAGTCGTGGTACGGAACGTCATGTGTGTAGACTTCAGCATCCACTAGGTAGTAATGTCCCTCCCTAGACTCCTTATATAAAGTCTGAAAAAAATAACAGTGGGTGGTGTTACTTAAAACAGCAGCAATGTACACACACACAGGGAATGAGGAGTTTCACTAATACTGCCAGACAAAACTCTCCAAAGCAGAAAAAAGAGAGAGAAATAGAAAGCAGCCCAACCTGGTTTTCTGTGGCAGTTGAAAATTTGCCCACTAGTGGGTTGGTGATAGTGATGGTGTAATTCAGACTCCTCTTCATAGAGCCAGAGGTGTCCCTCTGCCAAGAAGAAGAGGTCACACCTGCCAAGTGAAGAAATACAGTAGTTACTAGCAAGACCTAAAACACTTAATGTGGAAATGTTTAACTACATATGAAGAAAAAAGACAAATAAATAAAAGCAGTTTTCACATTTTGGAATTTGGAACTTTTTTTTTTGGATAATTGATCTGTCCTTGTTTTGCACAAAGTGTATTCTTTCATATCAACTGTTGCAGGATCAGATAAGCTGTACAGAACACTTTTAAAAATTCATGTAATCTAATGAGAAACTGTAGCAAGTTTTGTTTGGGGTCACTACACTCTTGAACTTCCAGTTACTGAGGTTCACTATGTTGCTGCAGCTAATCGAAACTAGACAGGTTGGAAATGACAGCGACAAACCTGCACACAGCAAAAAACTACATCCCATCTATCCTAACAGCAGCTATGTTTCCACTTTTTTTTTTTTTTACAAATTGCAAGTGATACAATGCATAAAATTCAAAAACAATTATGACTGTTAGTGATAAAAATGAGGGAAATCTGTCATGTAACACTAAATTTATGCTTAAACAAAGTATTTTTCCTGGGGGGAAAAAAAAAAACATTGGCTGCTAATACTGACAAAAAATTTTACTAACAATTTCCATTTCCGTAGCCCAAATCCACAAACCTTTTCTCAGTAGCAATAAAAAAACAAACAAACAAACAAAAAAACGTCCTGCTGAGATAGAAAATTAAAAGGGAGAATACAAATGAAGATCATTTTTACCTGTGATCTTCCTGACATCCATAAACCGCCGGGAAAAATAGGAATCAGTGAAAAGCAGCTCAAACATTTTCTCAGCGCTGATTTGAAACACCCTGTTCACAAACAGCCTTCCTTGAGACGCATGGGACACACAATCACGCTCCACTGCAAAGTCAAAACAAATCAACAAAATAACACACATCAGCCTCTGTGTGAACAAAAAATGATCATAAATTGATAGATTGAGTTCATAAATTCAGAAGCCAAGTTATTTCGTGTTTTCCATATACAATAACGTTCAGTTGAGTGAGTGAGTCGAACGTCTGCTCTGAGAGAAAATGTAGGTAAATTGAATAAACTTTGTGTGGTACTTTGTTGCTATTTTTTGAGGGCACATTGTAAAAGATAATCATCGGAATTAATCAATAATAAATGAAGAATAAATAAATAAATAAATAAATGATTAATTCCCTCATTATTAACACATATGTACAGTGCATCTCTCACCTTCCTCCACGCTGTCAGATAAACTGTTTTCTGAGAGTCGGTCTTCATTGGCATTCAAGTCCAAGGACAGAGAAGAGCGCTTGGACACTTGCTCATGGCTGAAGCGCTCTAGAGAGAGGTCAGGACTGCGTTGGCGAGATGTCATACTCCGTGTGTCCTCCTGTAGGACATGCAATTACAGTAAATACACAATCCCTATCTGCACCATCTCTAACCCTGTGTCAATACTGCATTATGCATATTTTGGGAATTTTGGAGAAAATATCATTTGTAACGTCAGTTGTGCTTTGTGTCTGTTTCCTAAGCAAGATGATCTTCATTAGTATAATGCAGATTTTGCATTTGAGACAGAACTATGTCTATGTGTGTGATGTCACTACCTAAATACGTACAGCATGTTGTGAAAAACCCCTGCCAAATCCAACCTGATAATAATTAAAATTATTCTTTCACGCTTTACAGGGGACTCGCAGCAGCGCATGCACATCATATCTTAGTGTTTCTTAATTCAAAAAAAAAAAAAAATTACATAGTGCAGCTTGGCAATCCATTCTATAAGTGGAGGTTAGGACATAAAGTTGTAATCAGAGAGTTTTGAACCCTCTTCATCGGATCTTAAGCAGGAAAATGTTTAATGTGCTGTACCCCGTTTGCAGAGAGAGTGCTCTGTAGTCCAAGTGAAGACTGCGTGTCATCTCCCAGAGGTGTGGAGGCCTCATATGAAGTCTGTTCAATCTGAGGAAGACGTAGAGTGGAAGGTCTTTCCATCCTTCCAGTTTGATCCTCTGCTTTTATGTTTAGGCTGAAACAAAGAGCACATTCATAATACAAGGTAAGCTTCTGGCTACATTACAAAATCTAAAACCTGAAAACAAATATTCATCTAAAAAGTGTTTACACAATATATGTGTGTATGCAACCAACTCCTATGACTGAACTTAGAAGGTGTACACCTATGATAAATTCAGGCACTAAACTGTGCACTAAACCTACAGAAGTGTGTTCTGTAAGCATCAAAATAATCGTCTATACTATCACTAAGACAATCAACAGTAACTGTGACAAAGTCACAAAGGACCAAATTTTTCCATTCAGCATTTATTTTCGTAGCCAATGAACTGTTTGTTTTGAGAGTGTGAAAACCCATGAAATGTGCATTCAAGTTCATGATCCAGCAGCAAAGCCAGAAAAAACAAGTTTCGCAGGTAAACAATGAGACTTTACAGGTATGGCCAGGTCACTGGTATCTGTGTGTGGTGAATGCATGTTCATCCTGACGTGTGTGTTACCTGGTCTGTGTATATGCAATTGTATCTGCTGTCATCTGCAAACTCTCCATCTCCTCAAGGCTCAAGCCCAAATCATTGCCATAGTGCTGTTTGACCATCTGCCACAGCTCCTGCCTGGTCAACTGCTGTGGAAAGAACAAATAACCAAAGAAACTGAAGCAGCTGAGCAGCTGAGCAGCCGAGCACCTCGCTATCTCTTTCTCTCTGGGTGACCTGTGTGAAGAATGCTTCTGGCTGGTTGTTGATACCAGATACCAGATCAGCCCAACACAATGCACCTTTAATAATCTACTAGGTCAAACTTTCATGCTGGAAAACCGCCCTAACCTGCTTTGCAGTCGTCTGTGGAGATGCAATCAGAGTAAAGCTGCAGAGGTAGACTGCTAATCTACACTACATGTCCAAAAGTTTGTAGACACCTGCTCATCCAAAGTTTCCTCTGAAATCAAGGGTACTTATGGGGAGTTTGTCCCTGCCTTTGCTGCCACAACAGCTTCTACTCTTCTATGAAGGCTTTGCACTAGACACTGGAACACTGCTGTGAGGATTTGTTTGTATTCAGCCATAAGAACAAAAGTGAGGTCAGATACAGATGTAGGATTATTAGTTCTGGACACTCCAACACATCCCAAAGGTATTTGATGGAGCTCCATCTCTCCAGAGAATGCAGTTGCACTGCTCCACAGCCCACTGCAGGGAACTTTATATCCCTCTAGTCGACATTTGGCATTGGATATGTTGACCTTAGGCTCATCTCATTCTACTGGTAATGCTTTTTTAATGGAAATTACCCAAACTGTGTGCACCTTAAACTTCACTAACTAGCAGGTGTGTCTGTATACTTTTGGACACAATAGTGTGAGTTAGTTGTCTATGCTCTAATTAAGTACAGTCACATTGACTGACTCCTACTAGACAATTCAATGACCTGGATGACCACAAACTTTCACATACATAATGAAATCAGCTTTTACCTCTCATATCAAAGTGAACTGAGTTATAAAGATTATGAAGGCAGGTGGAGCTGATCCTTGATGCTCCCCTATGGACCATAAACGCCACCTGCTTGAAAGCAAATTGCTCCAAAACAAATCCTGTCTTGTGAGATTTTGCTTTTACAATGAACAACTACGTGACTCACAAGTTAAACAGCTTCACAAACGTACAAAACAAACGTGAACTTCAGTCTTCAGAACTAGACTGAGTGTCTGATCAGACTGAGTCTCAGTTGAAGTAAAACCAGACCATAAACGGTGCTTTCCTAAAAAGATAAGGAACGCTATGCTAACAACGAATAGCCACAAACAAATCAACAGACCATATAGCTACGAGGCTGAAGTCAGTTTCTTATTCGCCAACTTCTAGTTCGAATTTTCCCGTTCCTCCTTAAATGGTGAATCAGTTAAGGTGGAACGGGAAAATACGAACTAGAAGCTGGCGAATAAGAAACTGACTTCAGCCTCGTAAGTTAGACCATATGGCGCACAAACACGGGCTCTACAATAAAGACCTCCAACCTAAAACGATACATTTTGAAGACAACGCAAGATAAGAACATTTAAACTGAAACCAACGGTCAGTTTCTGTATGCTTTAGCTTAAATAACATGAAGACGCACTTATTCTGTCGTACTTACAACAAGGTGTCACCTACCTGTCGAAAGCCTTCAGTGAACTAAAGTAACCCGTGAGCTGTCACTACAGATAAAACCCAGTGGGCTCGGCGATCAGGAAGTTGTTGCGTTCTGTAGCAATATTATTTTCCCCACCCGTATTCCGACAGATAAATCTGCAGACTTTCACTGGATGCGACTAGTAGTTCGTTCATCACAATTTTACACTATTTATCTTATACAGTACATTTAGAAATATCACTGAATTTATTTTAAAAATAATATTTTCTTATTATGGTTTTATATAAATGTCTTTAATTATTTAATAGTTTGCTGCACTATAAAAAAACGACCATCAACATTTTTGTTCATTAATTTTTAAAAGTTATATTTTGTTTTATAATATTATTTCAAAACTTATTTAACAGTTTGCTGCAGTATTTCCTTAAACTTTTTGGTTTACTTTTTTTTTATAACGTCGTAGATTCCGCATTTTGTTCAAACCATAATATATGTTTATTAATTTAATGCTGGGTTTATTTGCCGTTTGCATTTAAATTAACTCAGAATTGTGAAAAAAACAGGTTGACTTTTTTTAAGCACAAAACAACAAATAGTTTTTTTAAACAGAATTTCAGCATGCTGAAAACTTTTTTACCCACCTGTATTCCTGGAACGCTAAAGCCCCGCCCCCAGCGGGTGGATTAGCTAATCGTTCAGGCTGCTCCTAGCCGATCCTGGCGCAAGAGGGCGGGGCTTTAGCATTCTGGAACGAAGTGATGTGTGAGATGCTAGCCAATCCTAGCACGGAAAGGCGGGGTTTTCCGGAAAACGGGTGGTGAAAAAACCTTCAGTTTTTGGCTCTGATTAAATGATTAGAATGATTAAAACTGAATTGTGGTAAAGCAGATTAATTTACTTGCATAAAAAGTATTTTTATTTGAAAAAATTAAATCCTGTCAAAATGTAGTTAACCACACTATCTGGAACAGAGTTTCTGTCTCCCATGGTTCACATTGTTCAAGGGAGGGACTTTTTTTCTGAAAGGCCGCTCTGTTCTCATGCAAAGTAGAAAGCCACACCCAGGAAGGTCATTGAATTTTACATTCATGTACAGTTTCATGTGCACACAGCACCAGTTTCTAATTAAAAAGAGCACTTAGAAGCTCATGTGGTAGATTGTAACGTTAATATAAATGTTTGGGCAAGAGGTGGGCGATACAGCAAAATCACAATACTTCAAGAAATTTTGTAAGATATGCAAAATAAAAAATATATCATGATATCTGATAAGTTAGAACAAACCCCACATCTTAAATATACTATCACAAACTATGAATTCAGTTATTTGTATTCAACATTTTACACTAAGTCCAGCACTAAATCAGGCAGTTAGTAAGTGTTTTAAGTACTAATGACTTTCACTCAGAAACGACTTTTACTCAGAAGAGCGTATTGTGACATGTTGTGATGTAATTTATCACAATAGCAATAAATATCATCATATTGCCCAGCTCTCCTTTGGCTTAACAGTATTTTCTAGGTTTAGTTTGCACTGGACATTCTAGGTCAGAGGTAGCTAGGTCCAGAGTCCAGTACAGTTTGGGGATTTCCCTGCTCAAACACTCAAACAAAACTTGGGAAATCAGATGTATTTGAGGTAGGAAATCACCAATCTGTGCTGCATTCTGGTAGAACTCATTCTGATAAGGGAAAAAGGGCCCTACATTGTTTTTTTTAAATAAAGGCTTTGATTCAGTTTTTAAAGTTCAGTATGTTAAAGTTTCAAAAACCAAGCCATTCACTTCCCAGTCACTACATCAATCCACAAATTGAAATATATATATAAAGAGAGGTTGGAAAATGGTCATGAAAACATGAATTTTGGCTGCTTTTTGTACATAAACCTATATAAACATCATGAATGGACAAAACAAAACAAAATAGAAATAGGAATAGTAGTAAAATTTCTCAGGCCCACCTTGTCCATCAGTATATTCTGCCATAGACGAAAAATGGTCTGGTAGCTCTTCTCCCTTGTGGAAAATGATGTGAAGAACAGCTAGGGGAGTAGACACTATGTTAATCTGATGTTACCAAATAATTTCATATTGCACCAGTTACAATGTACAGTAATACACTATATGGCCAAAAGTATGTGGATATCGCTCCTAATCATTGAGTTCAGGTGTTTCAGGCACACCCATTGCCCCTTAGTTCCAGTGAAGTGTAATGTCAATGCTACAGCAGACAAAGACATTTTAGACAATTATATGCTTCCAACTTTGTGGCAACAGTTTGTGAAGGCCCTTTCCTGTTCCAGCATGACTGTGGCCCTAGCAAGCACAATAAAGACATGGTTTGATAAGTTTGGTGTGGAGGAACTCAAGTGGCCTGCACAAAGCCCTGACCTCAACCCAAGTGAGCACATAAAGTGGAGGCCATCTCGTCCAACATCAGTACCTGACCTCACAAATGCTCTTTTGACTAAAGGGTACAAATTCTCACAGACGCACTCCACAATCTTATGGATAGCCTTCCCAGAGGAGCAGAGTCTGTTGTGGCCACAAAGTGGAAAGGGGCGACTCTATACTAATGCCCATGGTTTTGGAGTGGGATGGCCAACAAGCTTGGATACATTTGATGGTCAGGTGTCCACATACTTTTGGCCATAGTACATAATATAAATAGTACATTAGATAGTAGTACAACAATAGTAAGTTATAGTATAATAAGGAGAATTATTTAAAGTATTTTAGTGGTTTAATCAAGTCTATCCATAGATAACAAAGGATAAACCAGTGCTTGTTACCTTTTCTGTATTTGTGTAGATCTGAATGGCGTTCGGTATCAGTCGGGCTGTCTTCTCTCTTGACATGGATGCAATATCTCTCATATTTAACATTATCTACATTAAAATTGACCAAAATAGAATCAGTAGCAACCCTGTATCAACTCTCCAAACAATATAACAGACTGTATACATTCAAACAGACTGTGTGCTCTCACTTTTGTTCCCCAGAAGACATTACTGTAGAAACAGAGCCAGTTCTCTGTGAGGTAGATGCGGCCCTGCAACAGAATGTCCTTCTGCAGAGCGCAGGTATAATCTGGGGAAAAACACAAATCTCAAAAATGCAGGCCTAAAGACATTTAGCATATCTCTCTTTCTCAATCTCTCTCCCTCTCTCTCACCTACTATCAGTCTCTCCAGCTCAGCCAGTTCTTTGAATGTCTTCCTGAACTCCTCACTCCTCTGTTTGTAGCTGGTCGGTGATTGAGGTGATCCTATACACTGTCCTGTGACATCCTGTGATGGAGCCTAATTACAATGAATGAGTTAAAGTAATCATCATTTAGGCTGCAGCATAGGGTGTGCATTAGAGCTCTCATTAATACTGAGTTAAGCTTGCTTTCTTTGCTTAAAGCTATACATAATATTCTCAGTTCCTCTATTGCTCTCTCCTACAGTCAGAAAAAGAGCCCATTTATGTAGACATACAGTCAAGGTGAGAAATACAGGGAGTCCAGGGGGGTCTGGGACATCCTCATTAACCTCTTGGACCCCTCTGAATGTCTCAAAATGAAAATTTTGTTCTATATAGTACCAGAAGCTTGACATCATAACAATAGAACTCTATATGTTCCTAATAAGCATAATTCTATTTCATTTACTAAAAATATGCAGCTTCAACCACCAGTAGTATTTAAAATTGGACACAGTACATAAAATCAAGAGGGTCTGAGTGAGAAATACATTCTCTGGATGTTAAATGGTAAATACATTATGCTCTTTTTAAAGGAAGAATGAAGCTGCAGCTATGTTCAATGTCCACAAGAGGGCAGCAAAAACATACAAGTCATTTTTTCCAATGAAAAGGCTACACTACTAAACAGTGTTGGTTCATGAGTTAACTGTCTGTAATCCTGTATCTACATGAACTGCATTGCTCACAGTGATAAAAGTCTATACCAATTCATACACTATATGTATTTAGATCAACTGGTATAAAAGATGTAAAATGCAGAGCAAAAGCCAGGAGTGCTGTTTCAGTCTATATCATCAATGATGTTGAAGCCTATTTGTTCACCTCTTGCTCCTCGGAGTTCAGCTTGGCCTCTCCAACTGGGCTGCCCTCCTCAGTCACATCACTGCCCGCCACCGACTTCGCTATGTTGGTCATCTTTGTCTTGCCTGGGTAAAAGAGTCAGAGCCACACCAGCTTCAAAAGACCATCAGCCAAGCTGAGAAGATGAGGCAGCTCATTCTGCTTTAAATTCACTATGACGGTGCCTTAAGCTATGCAGAGTGTGGCTATTCATAGCCAAAGAGGGTAAACACAGACATTAAGACAAAGAGCTAACAAGAAACATGAAAAACTGGCTTATCCTGCCCTGTGAAGCGACTTCAGAACCCCAGCTGGGGTTGACACCTAAAGAAAGCTCAGCCAGACACAAAGGCCAGGCACAGAGGAGTCAGAGAGCCAATAAAGCAGCTTCACCAACATTAACTAATGGCAAAGAGGAACATGCATTTTCTAATTTAATCACATCAATAATAATATGATAATACATCTTTATTTATATAGCACATTATATGTTAGTTGCAAAATCCCAAAGTGCTTCACACAGAAAGATAAGTAAAAGATTGTAGAGATAAAATATTATGATATAAATCAAATAACTGCACAATTTAACTGCACTGAGAAAATGAGCTCCAATCTGCACTTAAAAACATCATTGTGCTCACATTGCTAACATTCTCTGGAATGTTTAGGAGCTATGTAAGAAGAGGATCATCCACCATTGTGTAAGTGATCATAGGAGTATGCAGTAGTCCCGCCTCTGGCTAGAGGGGCTGTAACGTTTCATCAGATCAGTAAGACATTGTCACTGTCGGAACAAAATGTTGCATCTCCACTTTTGCTGTTTTTTCTTTTTTTTTGCAGAAACTGAAATGGTCAGCTGCTCTTCACACTGTGTTGCAATTCATGATAAATGGACCAATAGAAATACTCAAGAAATAACTTGGAAATACATCTCATTCCATTAACTTTCATTCAAAGTTGAAAAACGCTTTTTTCCTCCTGTTAACTTAGTTTTGGAGATGAGGATTTGTCCTGACAATGACAATATGCTTATATTACATTAGTGCTTGTTGTAATTATGACATTATTGTTTCTCAAGTAAAAGTAAAAGAAATCTTTCCATAAAATAACTTGAACAAAAGTATCAAGTCAAAAAACTGCTGTATGTAGAGTTCTCTACAGAACTGCAGCCAAACTTTTTTGTAAAGCATCTATGAGAACTGGAGCTGAAATTTGATAGGTTTGATCTATCTATCTGTCTATCTATCTATCTATCTATCTATCTACCTATCTATCTAACTATCTGTTGGTCTGTCTGTCTATCTATCTATCTATCTATCTATCTATCTATCTATCTATCTATCTATCTGTCAGTCCGTCCGTCCATCCGTCCGTCCATCTATCTATCTCTCTCTCTGTCTGTCTGTCTGTCTATCTATCTATCTATCTATCTATCTATCTATCTATCTATCTATCTATCTGTCTGTGTATCTATCTATCTATCTATCTATCTATCTATCTATCTATCTATCTATCTGTTGGTCTGTCTGTCTGTCTTCCTGCCTGCCTGCCTGTCCGTCTGTTTATCTACCTATTTTTAATAGTTACATGTTAGTTAAACTGCCTAAAACTATTACCTGCTATCTATTCCACGTGAACCTGTACAGTATTGCACATTTTGATCTGTTTTATACACACACACACACACACACACACACACACACACACACACACACACACAAATCTTTGCTGTCCCAAGAAAAACATGTATTTCCATTTTTTAGCAATTTTTAGTTTTCTGCATTGTTTGAACATGGTGGCTGTTCTTTACATTGTGTTAAAATGTAATAATATCAATAAGGAAAGGACCAATAGCAATGCTCAACAATTACTTGGAATAAAATATCTTCATATTGACTTACACTAAAAGTAAACAACGTTTATACACAAAATTCAACTTTTCATGTATATTTTCTGTCTTTTTGGCAGCTTCTTGCCAGAGGAAACCCCTAATAAACAACTGTTATTACATGTTAAAGCTGATGTGCTCATACCTGTGAACGCTCCCTTCAAACATCAACACGTCCAGATCCTGCGCAGACTAATTCCAGCACATCTATAAGAAGAGCTGCGGAAGAGTGTTGCTTCAAGTATAATCCTCAAGTAAGAAATGTTTGAAGAAATCACCTACTTTCACAGTGCTGAAGTGCTGCTGTGGTGGAGGTGTCTTCTTACCTGGCAACAGCCCCAAGTCCCTCCAGAGGGAAAATACCATTCACCACTGGAGAGGACAGAGAGCATGTTTCACACATGAATACGCAAAACAGATCAGAAAGGGGTGGAGCCGAACAATCAAACACCCTACCAAAACACAAAAACTCTCTGTTTGTTTGGTCTGCAGCAACCACCTCACTTTTATTACTGCTGTTACACACTTTAAAAAGATGGTTCTTTAAGGGTCTTTAGTATGGAAAATGGTTCTATTTAGAACCACGAAAACTCAAAGAACCGTTTGCATGATTTAATGTTTCTTTGCATTGTGAAATGGTTCTTCAGACTGATAGCACCAAAATGGGTTCTTCTATTATTACACTGTCAAGCTTGTAACAGTAGGAGAACACTTTTTGGTGCTAAATAGAACCATTTTCAAAACCATCTACAGCAAAACATCTTCAGAAACCAAACATGTCTTGGCTGATTGACTATGTTTGGGGTAAGTGGAAAACTGTGGAAATTTGACTGATCAGTGAACTTTAACAATATTAATCTGACCTCATTACAGATACAGACTACAGTAGTAAATATAAAAGATAAAGTGAGATATGACATCAGCAATATTCTCTGCAGAAGCATCAGGACATAAGACTTGAGACACAGGATTCCAGAGAACAGGTGGAGGAAAAGCAGCAGAACCAGTTCAGCAGTGCTACAGCATCGCTGACACTTGAGTCACACATACAGAAATAAACTGCCATCATTACTGTTATTTCATCAGCCCTTCAACTCTGACACTAGAACTGCTAAGGCCTAGTCCCCATACGGAAATCTGATACATGGCCATGTGCCTATATCATAAAGAGTCAGGCACATATTTCAATATACACTACACAGACAAAAGTATTGGGACATCTACACCTTAGACCTACAGGAGCTTTTATGACATCCCATTCTAAATCCATAGGCATTAATATTGAGTTGGTCCCCCTTTACAGCTATAACAGCTTCCACTCTTCTGGGAAGATTTTGGAGAGTGTCTGTGGGAATTTTTGCCCATTCATCCAGAAGAGCATTTGTGAGGTCAGACACGGATGTTGGACGAGAGGGCCTGGCTCACAATCTCTGTTCTAGTTCATCCCAAAGGTGTTCGATGGGTTTGAGGTCAGGGCTCTCAGTCAAGTTCTTCCACACCAAAATCACCCAGCCACACCTTTATGGACCTTGCTTTGTGCACTGTGGCTCAGTCATGCTGGAACAGAAAAGGTTCTTCCCCAAACTGTTCCCACAAAGTTGGAAGCATACAATTGTCCAAAATGTCTTGGTCTGCTGAAGCATTAAGATTTCCCTTCACTGGAACTAAGGGGTCTAGGCCAACCCCTCAAAAACAACCCCATAGCATCATCCCTCCTTCACCAAACTTTACAGTTGGCACAATGCAGTCAGGCAGGTAATGTTCTCTTGGCATTCTGCATTTTGATCTTAGGCTTGTGTGTAGCTGCTCAGCGATGGAAACCCATTTTGTGATGCACAGTTCTTTTGCTGATGTTGCTTCCAGAGGCAATTTGGAACTCATTAGTGAGTGACTCAACAGAGGATAGACACTGTGCGCTTCAGCACTTGGCAGCCCCGCTCTGTGAGTTTGCGTGATCTACTGATTTGTGGCTAAGCTGTTGTTGCTCCTCGGTGCTTCCATTACACAGTAATAGCACTTACAGTTGACAAGCGCAGATCCAGCAGGACAAAAATTTCAAAAAACTGACGTACAAAGTATGACTCATTCTACTGCCAGTGTTTGCAGAGACTGCAAGGCTATGTGCTTAATTTGATCCACCTGTTAGCAATGCATGTGGCCAAAACACCTGAATCCAATAATTAGGAGGGGTGTCCCAATACTTTTGTCCATATAGTATATATACTTTATATAGTATATATATATATTGTCGCTGTCCAATGAAAAACATGTAACTCCATTTTTTTGCGATTTTTACTTTTCTGCATCATTTGAGCTCAGCAGCTGTCCCTTACATTGTGTGAAAATCTCATGATGATTGGACCAATAGAAATGGTCCAAAATTGCTTAGAATAAAAACTTTTTCTATACACTTACATCTGAAGAACTATTTCACCATGCAAAGAACCATTTAGCATGAACCATTCCCATTACTAAAGAACCTTTGAAGAACCGTCTTTTTAAATGTGTAGTGTAGGACAGAGGAATATATTATTCAAAGTCCATAAATCTCCACAAATAACCTTAACCAGCTGTGGATCCTGAAATACAGTGGTGGAATAATAGAGGGATTCTGTCTTTAACCCTTTAACCAGTCTAAAAGACAGAAGGAGAGATGAGAGTGTCATTAGCACACACAGAGACCACCGGAGCACTTTCAACTTCACCTTCCCTTACAGCTTAAACTTGAACATGACAGCTTAATGCAGGAGACTAGAGGGTATGTTGTACGACTGATTTATGAGGGAAAATGCAAAAACTAAAAAATCTGCAGTAGGACATTTTGTTTAGACAGCTCTGCATCTAGTGAAACACAAATATTAATGACTACTGCTTTCTTTCACAGCATAGAGACGCAGCAGTTTCTGAAGTACCTCAATTAATTATTTGATGAATAAATGCACAGTGAAGTCGGATAAATCAGTCTTAAAATTAGCAGAGAAAATTTCAAAGTTCATGATTTCAGTTACATTTCTTGTTCTTGATCAGGTGAAACTAACATTGTGTTTATAAAGGACCCGATCCTGATATAAACTGGAGGTAAAAACAGTCGTAATAACATTCAGCATAAAATAAGCTGATGGCTGTATAATGGGTTGTGGCAGTCGTCTCCCTCTAGTGGACATTTCTGAGATTGCAAGATGTCCGCCACCCTACACTTAAAAATAAAGGTGCTGTGCAGGTACGTTTTTCATTCATCAAGGTACAAACAATGTAAATGTACATTCAAAGGCACAACAGTGGCTTTATGGTCCAATTATGAACCTTAAATAAGTTCTTCTCTGGTGAAAAGTATGTTTTTGTACCTTTTCATAACCTAATGTTTTAAAACAGGACGGTAAAAATAAAAAGCCTGGAGACGAGGCGGGGTGTGTGGAGTCAGCACAACTTACAAAATATGGTTTCAATGGTTATGTTACAATTATGTTCCCTGACTAAAGGCACTGAGACGCACCCTTGAGGGTACCACCCCAGTGACAAGAGGGGGACTGAGAGTGTATATATGCAAATAAAACCTTTACCAAACTCACTTTCTAGTTAAGAAACTGTCTTAGAGGAAAACTTTGACTCATAGCTTAGAGTCAATAACTAAAATACATTCATGACTACTACGATTTGATCACTTAAGCAAAATGAAAGCAGGACAATGCAGATCTGACAGATCATAAAGCTTAGTCAAGGTAGTCAAGATGACAATGAATGTTACGTGAACTGTTATGTGAGCTTTAAGAGAAGGTTAAAATCTACTGTAAATTTTGTATTAGCGTGCATAAAATATCTTCTGAATACATTTTCACTGGAGAACCTGAGGATTTCCTGAAGTAGAATGATGAGCTGAAGAAGAACTAATTTAAAAAACAAGTCACAAAAGCTTTCTCAATATAATGATCACATCACTGGTATTAATTATATATAACAAGCAGAAATGGAATATAATCAAAGACAAGGATCATGGTGTATTGTACTAGCTTTATTTAAAACAAAAGGGTGATGGTGTTTAGTGCGGAGACAGTGCAGTGAGGGATGCTGGCTCAAGAAGCTTGTTGAGTTTCTAGTTGAGGTTTTTCCAGCTTGAACGCAGTGTAGCCGGTAGAGGAGCCTGTACAACAGAACATAACAGAAGTTAAAGGAAAGTAGCTGATATGGTTGGGCACTTGAAAAAGTAGTGATGGCTGAACACTGAATACACTCTACCTAAATGTATCTAGTAATGTATTCTGTTTCAATACATACAAAAGTAACATATTCAGAGGAGGTTTAGAACCTAATGATAAGACATACGGGGAAAAACTGCTACTGTGATTTTTATTTAATTCACTCTGTTTCTTGCTGTAACTGGTTGGCAGTTTTCTTCATGTTGTTCTTCTGTTAACCCCTTAACAAGTTTTCTTACACACTCCTATAATCTAAGAAAAGCTTAGTTAGTTTGAATTGAAGTCCTTGTAGATACTGAATAATAAGCCTTTGTATGAAATGAACCTGGAATGTTAAGGGGTTAATATGTTGCAAGGAAAATGTGCTTATTTAAATGACTGCGCAAAATTCTCAACGTTATTTTGGCTCTCATCACCAGCTACAGTTCTCTGCTGCTCCCATAATTCCACTGCCGTCTCATGAACTAAGCAAACAAGTGACCATATCCCAATGACAAAAATTAGACTATAACATGGGTAGGTGTGATTTTCAGTTAATGGCATGTATGCAACTTCACACAAAACACATTCACAAGTCCAGTACAACACTGATGCTAAGCTTTACACTCATGAACATGTTTGCTACTGAGGAGACTACCCAGTTCAATCATCCCTCAAAAGAGTTTAATAACATTGAGATAATACTGATCACTGCCTTGATTTATCAGTCTACTCAGGCTTTAGGAATTTCAGTGTCACACGGAAGCCATTTTTGGGTCCTTCTTTAGAGTACATACTTACAAACAGATGTTATAATAGTTAAACAAATATGGTGTCACTTTTAAAAATGGTTTATATATATTTGAGGTTTAGTGGGTAAGTATTCTAAAAGTATTCCTCTAAGAATGTAGAAAGTAACTGTATTCTGAAAACTGCCTTTAGAAAATGTAACTTGGACTGAATACAGATACTTAATTTCTGTATTCTGAATATGTATTTCCAACACTTGTATTCCATTACATCCCAACCCTGGCCAGTGAGCTGCATTTCTTCACAGCTTCAGATTTACTTTGTATTTATGTCTAAAAACACTGAATGCGTTTATATACAC